CTGAGTAGCAGTAGGACTAAAGCCAATTGGGTATCCATGTTAAGCCTGGTACCAAAGTGATGAACCTGAAGGAGGCAGGGAGGGTAACAGGCTGGGTAAAGATGGGTAAAGCATTACAGGTTGTATCCAGCCAAAGTTTCTATACGGATTAGCAGTGGGATTAGGTTCGTGAGTGACCACTGAATATCTAACTTGGATGAGAAGGGAGACCTAGCCATAAATAGGTCCAAGTAGTATTTTATGGGGAAGTATGATGAGCTTTTGAGTAAAAATCAGTGGAAGCAGAAGCAGTATTGGATGCAAACTACCTAGGCAGGAAAATGAAAAGTGAGGACCTAAAGGAACTAGGTCACAAGCCTCATATAAATGTATTATATAGTGATCATTAGAGACTTTGTTTCTAGACAACTGCAGGGGTTCCCTGCCAAGAGAAGAACAGTGAATAATTTCTTTGTCTAAAGGTAGAAGAGTCAATGAGAAATTTCTGTTCCGGAATTGATTGTAACCAAGAGGGAGGATCTATTAGGGTAGATATGTGAATTTTAGGGGAAAGTTAACTCTTCATCTTAAAACTAGTGAGATAAAGAAGGAAAGGAAAACTAGGCATATAGTTTGACATCTCCAATTGATAGTGCTCTCCCTGGTATCTAGCACAGTGCCTAGCAAATAGTAGATACTTTATGTTTATTGAATGAACAAATTAATACATCCTAGATTTTGTGAAAGCATATTTCAAAAGGTTGAGGAAAAAGCAGTTGCAAGGACTAAAGTAAGATCAGGAGGAATGAGAAGCTTTAAAGAAGGAAATTCTGAAGACATTATTCCAATGAAAAGGAAAAAGTTATTTAAATGAAAGAAATATGCACATCAACTTATTTTAGATGTAGGAAAGATAAAAGCAAAGGCAAGTAGAAGATAAATATGAAAGTGCGGCATAGTCATCGGTACCCGCAGCGCTAATGTTCAGAATACTGAGACTAATAAGAAAGAAAAGGACACTATAAAGCTGTTTTGGTTATATTGTAGGAAAGAATTATTTTTAGTTTGTAAAGGATAATAGCTAACAGCACCTGCGACATAGCAGTATCAACCACTGCAAAAAAGCTTTATAATAATTTGATTCTCACAACTACCCTAGGAGGTAGGTGCTGTTATCCCCATTTTATAGTTGAAGAAACTGAGGCAAACAAGTGACTTACCCAGGGTCACACAGCTAGTAGGTGTCTGAAGCTGAATTTAAACTCTTCCTGACTCAGGACTCTATTCAATAGGCCACTTAGACACTGGTCTAAGAGATCTGAATTAGAATGTCTAGGCTCTTGTTATGATCATGATGTTCATGTAGTCCGGTGCTTCTTAAAATCAGTTTTTGTTGTGATACCTTAAGTCGGTTAACAAACTAATAAATATTAATTACTGTGCTAAGTGATACAAATAAAAGTCTCTGCCCTTAAGGAATTTATAATCTAAATGGGATAAGACCACACACAAAAGGAAGCTGAAAGGGGGAGGAGAGGAGAGCAAAGAGAAGATACCTGGCAAGGAGAAGGTCAGAGAAATGCAACAGGGTGGGAAATGAAGAGATGGTTGGTCTAGGTTCCTTTCTTATATGGATGTTCTGAGAGATACTCCCCACTCAGAGGAGTAGAGAGTATTGAAAAGGTGTGAGGACCAGGGCTGATGTGATGAAGTTCCTGGTTGGATATGATGGAAAAGTCTAGTGGAGTACAGTTGGGTGGGAAATTTATTTTTTAGTTTTTTGACTTTGCTTTGCTATTTCCCTTCTGATGAAGTCATTGACTTGTGTTTGATTGATCCCAGTTCTCAGGGAATTTGTTATTTAGCTAGGTTTTATACCTTGAGCCAAACTACTCTCAGTTCTTTCATAGACCTCATTTCTTTTCCTGTTTTTTCCTCAAGCTCTCCTTTCATTGACAAAAACTTTTTTAAAAATTGTTCATCTTTTCCAGGAATTCTAGTTGAACTGGTGGCCACACTGTTTTTCTCTAGGACTTTGCTTATAGATATTTTAGAGTCATTTTCTTCAGCGTTTGTGTCTTGAGCAGCTCTGCTACCATAATTGGTTCTTTATGGTAGAATTTTTTTTTTGGTTTGCTCATTGTTTCTTTGGACTTGATATTAAGGCTGGAGTCTGCACTTCTGGAGGGAAGGGCTGGGCTGATCCTGTTGCTGCTTTCTTGGGGTGTTAAGGGTTGTGTTATTGCTGGATCTCAGGGAGAGGCTATGAACCTGCAAAATCTCAGTGCTTCCAAAGAGGTATGATCCAGGGTAAAGTCTGATTGTTTTCCTCCTGGTCTGAGCTCTGCAAGTTTCTGGCTTGGTGTGGGTCCAATCAACAGTAGACTGCTGCTAGACATGGCCACAGTCAGCCAGTGGGAAAGCTCTGCTAGTTCAGAGTGATAGAACTGTAGGCTTCCCTTTGTCCTGGGGTTCTTGCCCTGATTATTTCTATGCAGGCTTCAGACTGGGCCAGAAGCTAGAACTGTGACCCTTGCTCTTCTCTTGGTAACTAAGTCACACTGCTGCTGCTTGCTTCTGAACCTGCTCCTTTCTTGGTACACAGCCTCAAGGCCGTGCGAGGGTAGAAGAGTGTGGTGGGGGTAGGCCCAGGCCCCCCTCCTCAGTCTTCCCTGGATATGTGACTAGAACTGGGTAGTGGGTGACGGAGTTGGTACTTGTCCCTAACAAGTGCCCTCGTATGGGACCTTTACTTGACCCTGGTGTACAGCTTGTTCCTTATCCCTTACAGACTTCTCTGTCTGTCTCCTTATGCCAAACTTGGCTACAAAAATGACTGACCATGATTTTTTTCTTGGATTTCTCTATTAGAATTGCTTTTCTGGATCTGTTTTGTAGGAGTTTTGGGGAGCAACTCTGTGCTGCTTCCTGCTGTTCCTCAGTCTTGATCTCACCTACAAAAAGCTTTTAAAACGTTAACTTTTGTTTTTATATATCATCCCTTTCACTTGTCAGTGTCATCCATGTGACAAAGCAAAACTGACACTTCAAGCAAGTCTGCAAGTACATGCTGTGTCTTGAGAAAATCAAATTGATTTTGATTCCATTTTTAATTGATTCTATTCTGGATCACCAAGAACATTTTGTATAACTACCTAAAGTCACATTCCTTTGTCTTTATGTTAAGTTCAGAAGTTTAAAAGTTCAGCTTTCTCATAATGACCAGCTTTCCTCTCTCTGAGTTAAGTTTAAAAGTTCAGCTCTCCTATAAATCACTTTTAATTAAGAAAAACCCATTATTTTTATACTACCAGCTGCTTGACCAACTAGAGGAAATCTATTATCTCTCAGCCACTAGTTGTCCTTGCACAATTGAAGGAAAATATGTTATCTCCATACCATTAGTTCAGGGGTAGGGAACCTATAGCCTTGTGGCCACTTGAGGACCTATGGGCTCACATGCGGCATTGAGGCCACAAGTTGCCCATCCTTGCACTAGTAATTCTTGTAGGATTACTACACACCAAGTGTGCTCAATCAGCAGTTTCCTGGCAAGAGGATAGAAGGAGGGGTTGTGCTAGCCCCACATTCCTGGTGTCTATTCAGTCATAGTGTCCCTCACACCTGTGATATTTCTCACCTTGTAAGCAAGCGATTATATTGTTTTTCCCATCTACAATTCTTCCTTCTAATTTTTAGATGCTCCTCCTTTTGTCTATAAAAGTGATTTGTCAGCCCTCACTTGAAGTCTTTTGGCTTGCTAAGGAGCTGAGAGATATCTTTTTTTGATGATTGCTAGCCTTACCAATAAATTGATTGTGCTCAGAGCTTTGTGCCTCAGTCGACTTTATTTTTAATCATGACAGTTTCACTTCCATGATCCTCTACTTTTGCAAAAAAGGACAGGGAGGTACATTTTCCAGAATTGGGAATTTTGCAGAGGTCATTCTTGTTCATGAACAAATTGGATTAGATAGCCTCTGAGGTCCCTTTTGATTCTTGAGATTACATGCTTATCATTCTACATTGGATTTGGGCTTTTTTTTTTTATGTCTCTGTAAATTCTCCATAGAAGATCCATACACTGTGGAGACCTTTTTCTGATTGTCTTAATATTTCAGGGGTGCTAGTGTGGTACTAGGGCTTCCATTTGCTATCTTTTTATACTGTATGATCAGCTTACATCCTTTTACAGTCATGTGCCTCATATATTACTTGTACATAAGAAGTCATAATTTTTTGTTACAATATGGGATCATTGTGAGAATATTAGTATCTAAAAATTCTGGACTTATGCAGACAAACAAGTCTTGGGATCATTAAAAGTGTTTAATTTCTAAAATCTGACCTAGCCAATCTCCTCTCTTTCAATTCTGGACCCAGCCCACTGAAGTTGTCTGCTTGGCTGCCTGCCTACATTACTGCTTGTGATAGATTAACTCATTTGCATGTTTAAGCTAGAAAATATGCTTTTATCATCTGCTTTGTTTTTCTAATATGAATGATCCCTTTCAAATAAATGTAGATTGAATTGGAGAGGTTTTAGATTGTCTTAGAGTTTGAGACAGTTTAAAAAGCAACAAAATGTAGTCTAAAGAGTACTATACTTAGACTCACAAGACCTGGATTCAGGTCCTGGCTCTACCACTTATTAGCCATGTGACTTTGGACAAGCCACTTTACCTCTCTGAGCCACAGTTTCCTCATCTGTAAAATAATAAAAATAATGTGTTGAAAGTAATTATATAAATGTTTTTTGTGAATTTTTTATATTTCATATACTTTCAATCTTCTGTGGTCAAGACTAGGTTTTCCTAACATAAAGGAATAGTACAGTTGTTAAATTGTACAACAGATTTGAATAAGGTTAATTTTAGAAACGAGAGACAAATATTTTAAATTGAAGGGTTGGTGATGTATAGTCTATATGTAAATTTATATCCACATAAGAAAATATGCCTTGAATTTTACTTAGCGCTATTTTTTCCTTCAGTATATTTTTTATTTTTTCCTGAGTTTAGGTACAGAATGAGTACGTGTCGCTGGTGTACACCAGGTGGTGAGTCCACTGTTGACTTCCTAAAGAGCTATGCTTTTGGAACACTTCCCTGTGAAGTTCTCACAGCTAATGAGGACCTCTGTTACTGCTTGGAGTGTGTAGCTGAATACCACAAAGCAAGAGATACACTGCCTTCCTTGCATGAGGTAATCGGAATAAGCCTAGAATATTAACTAAAATAAGAAAAAAGATTATTTAGAGTTTGAGCATAGAGAAGAGAATGGGTTTGAACTTTATTCACATTATCCAAAGAATTACTAATGCATATTAATTTAGAATCTGAGGACTGGAAAGTCCTAATTTGAGGATTTCTCTACAGCCTACAAAAAAAACATGGGAGAGGTTCCTTATGCCTCATTTGTTCAGTATGTTGGAATAAAATCAGTTTGTTGAGCAAGAGCATTTTCTTTTTTTCTGTATTAAGTGGATATGAGTGCTGACTTGTAAAATTAGGTGACTTGTAATCTTTTCTTCATAAACAGTTCATTTTGACACATTTTGGAAAATGTAGTAAACTTCCAGGGGCAGCAGCGTTTTCTCACCAAAGAAGCTAGTGTGTAAGATGTAATTTTCAATTGCTAACCATAAAATTTTAGATTTGCAGCCAAGATGTGCTTGGTAAGAAATGGGAAACTGGCCTGTAAAACATTTAGGGCAGGACAGCAGTGGTAAGACTATCCTTAGAATATTTGTTCTTTATTTATGAAGGATCCCAATTTTGGAGCTAACCAACATTTTCAGTTTTAAGAATAATAGCTAACCCTTCTCTGGTGTTCTCCTTTCCCAATAACACTATGAGTTAGTTAACAAGTATTATTTTCCCAAGTTTACAAATAAAATTAGTTCAGAGAGCTGAAGTACTTTTGCTCACTGATATGATACAATAGTGTTACTGGGTCAAAATAAGAATTAACTAGATTCAAGCCAAGGATACTGAATGATTTCTATCAAACTGCAAAAGAGAATTTCTGAGAAAAGGAAAATATTCATTTAATCTCTTTTGTCTCTTCCCAACCTAACCCTTCTCTATGTAATTTATACTTTTAAACAAAACAACATTTTTTATCTGACCCAGAGATTTGTTTTAAAAAGTATTGGCAGTAGTATATTACATAGTCTTCTTTAAACTTCTAAATTTCTAGTTATTGAAAAGTTTTCTGTAGATCACCATATACAGGTTTTTTCATTAATAGCTCTTTTTTTCTTCTGATAGATATTATGGGAATTTGAAACCACTCGTCTCATAAATCATTTTGAAAAATCTATGAAAGGCGAAATTGAGGAAGATGACGAACTATTTATAGTTGATGACAATGGTGAAACACAACTGTTTGGTTTCACTGGCCAAGACTTCGAAAACAAGCTTCGAGTTCCTCTTCTTGAAATACTGAAGTATCCTTATCTGCTCTTAGATGAGCATGTCAGTGAGTATCTTAGAATCATAGAACCATAACCAGTGAGGGCCCAGAATTCTATTCTCAGCCTCAGGACCAGAACCTCACACTCTTCTTTCCTCTCCTGCCTTATCCCTCACTAGTGAAAATGAAACTAGCATCGTAGCTAAGACTTTGGTATGAGTTACCATGGAAGGGTTCCTTATTGAGAAGCTTATGGCACTGCATTATCCAGTGGCTTGCAAACCATTTTCCTCTTTGAATTCCAGTGATTCAGAGCCAAAGGCTGCCTAAGTGAAAATTCTTTTCCCTTGTTTCTACTCCCTCATCCCTTATCCTCATCCATTTTAGCCCTACCCCTCTTGAGCCCTATCCCATTCTGCTCTTCCCTTCCATCATGCCTCTGGAACCTCAATTCTGTTATCAAAAACTACCTCTCAGATTAGATCTCTTCGTCTCATATTCCTTCCAGAATTCATACTTTCTTTAAATCCATTTTTCTTTCTTCTCTATTTCTATTGACAGTACCACCATTTTTCTAGTTACCCAAGTTTACAAACTCAGTCATCCTCGACTTTGCTTTTCCCCTCACTACCCTCCCCACACACACACACAAACAATGTCTTATCAGTTACCAATGTCACTTCTACTTTCACAACATTCGTCATAATTATCCTCTTGCTCCATTCACAGAGCCACCACTCTAGTTCAAGCCCTTATTATCTCTTGCCTGGACTGTTGTAGTAGTCTCTTAGTAGTAAAATCTTATCTCTGACACTCCCTATGTGACCTTGGGCAAGCCACTTAACCTCCTTGGACCTCATCTTTAAAATAAGGGCATTGGACTGGATGGCCTAAAACTTTCCTTCAAGTTTTATATTTATTTTCACTTCTATTCTCCCTCCCTCTGTACCTTCTTCTCCAATCCATTCTCCACTGCCAAAGTGATATTACTAAAGCATAGGTCTGACAGTGTCACTCGCCTGTCTACAAATCTGCAGTGGCTCTTTGTCTCCTCTATGATCAAATACAAATTCCTCTCTTTGATGTTTAAAACCCTGCACAAACCTGAATCTAGACTATCTTTCCAGACACTACTTATTCTTTCCCTTCATACTGTCTATATGCCAGCCAGATTGGCTTATGTCTTATCCCTCACGGACAGTATTCCATCTTTCATTTCAAGTTTTTGCATAGTCTGTCCCCCGTGCTTGGAATGCACTCTCTCTTCACGTCTGGATCTTGTAACCTCTAACTCAACTCAAGTGCCTCCTCCAACATAATGCCTTTCCTGATCACCCTAGTTGTTACTGCCTTTGCTGTCCCCCCAGATTACCTTGTATTTACTTTATTTATATATATATATATATGTGTATATCTATCTATCTATCTATCTATCTATATCTATATCTATATATATATATGTGTGTGTGTGTGTGTATGTATTTTAACATACATAAGACAGTGTGGCAAAATAGTTAATAGTTAGAGATCTAGTCTTGAAGTCAGGAATATCTGAATTCAAGTCCCATTGACTTATTACTCTGGGCAGGTTACTTAATCTCTTGGCCCTCTAGGCCATTGGAGTCAAACTTTGAAATGGCAGCCACTAAACCAAACATAAAGATCACATATTGACTTGGAAAACCACACGTTTATGTATTTCTTGTCTTAGTAATCTATTTTGTTAAATATTTCCTAATTACATTTTAGTCTGGCTTGGGTCATATTTGGGAGTGTTGTGAGTTGTGTGTTTCACACCTCTGCTATAGGCAACAATCTTAGTGTATAAGGAAAAGAAGGTGTCAACCTGCATTGGTAGAGGGAGTTTTCTTGCTTCCTTCCTTTCTTTCCTTCTTTCCTTTTTTAATTTTTATTTTTATTTTCAGTTCCAAATTCTTTCCCTCCTCCCTCCTCTCCCTCTCATTGAGAAGGCAAGAAAAAAGATGCCCATTATATATATGTGAAGTCATGCTAAACATATTTCCACATTAGCCATGATCCTAAACAAACAAACGAACAAATAAATAAATAGAAAAATGCTTCTATCTGCTCTCAGTTTAGAGATAGTTTTCTTACTTGGGAGTTCTTACTACCAGTGAAATCACAAATATAACCCCTATCTTTTATTCCTATGTTTTTTAATCTACTTAGATGTATACCTATTATTTCCCTGACAGAATGTAAATTTCTTAAATAGGGACTTTCATTTTTGTCTTTGTATCCTCAGCACCTCCTATAGTATCTGGCATGTAGTAGGCATTTGCCTATTGAATTGTTCTTTGTATTCATAGAAACCTGGCTCCTCCTTGAAGATACTTAACAACTTTATCTGTAGTAGGTGTATCTCCTCTCTTCCCCCTCTTCTCACTGGGTCAGAATAAGGAATAGGCATACCTTTTGCTCTTTACTTCCACTGTCAGACCCTCCATCTGCCACCATCACTCAGCAGTATCTCCTCAGATAGAACCCATGCATTGTGAGCTGCTTCTTTATTTCATTGCTGTACCTCAGAGCTCTTCAAATGTTACCCTAAAGGGTCCCTCTTCTTTTGTTTCAGTCTCTGAAGAGGTACCCTTTGTCTTTATCAAAGACAATTCTTCTGCTTACACACTTGCCCTCATCTCCTCTTGTTTCTTCTGAGAATTTGCCCCTTTGATCATCCCCTCTCTCTTTTTAATCTTCATTCTCTTATTGCCCACTGTCCACTTCCCTGACATCAAGCTGTCTGTCCCCTCAGGCTGTCATCCTCTATCTTATCTTCTTCTCACAGCGAAACTCCTGGGAAAAAGCAGTCTATACTTATTGTTTCTATTTCCTCTTTCCTACTCCTCATCCTTTTATAATCTATCTTTTAAACCTGTCACTCAACTGTTCTTTCCAAGGTTACTAATAATCTGTTGCTAAATTCAGTGACTCTTTTTCTGTTTTCATCTTTTATACCTCTTTATGTATTTGGTCTATCACTTCATCTTTCTTAAACTCTCTTCTGCCTGGATTTTCATGACACTATTCTTTCTTGGTTCTCCTCATACCTAATTGAGTATTCTTTTTCAGTCTTTATTGGATTATCGTATGTGTTCTATCTCCTATGCATAGTTTTACCATGAAGTTCTGTTCTAGTCTTTCTTTTGTTTTCTGTCTTGAATTCTTAACTCTTGATGATGCCATCAATATCCATGGGTTTCATTATCTTTATTGTAGATGATTCCCAAATCTATATCTCTAGTCCTCTTTCTCTTGAAATCTTTAACTTTAAGGATAAAGTACCACCTCCTACACAAAGTCTTTCCAGAGTCACTCCAGTTTTTTGTGTTCATATATGTCTCCCCAAAAAAATTACTTTGTATTTGTTTTGTATGTATATATATTTTTACTTATTTGGGTACATGATGATTCTTTCCAATAAAATATAGGTTCCTTGAAGGTAGAGACTGTCACTTGTGTTGTTGTAGCCTCTGAGAGTAGTGCATAGTAGATGCCTAATAACTAAATAAAAATTACAGTGCTAGGTTTGGAAGGGATCTTTGATGTCATGTGGTTCAACCTTATTTTACAGATGAAGAAAGTGAGACACAGAATAGTGAAATGACTTGTCTAACGTCATCTAGTAGAGCTTAAGTTATCTTAGCCCAAGCTCTTTCCATTATATCATGATGCTTTGAGTTGGATTTTTCTATTAAAGTGAAAATGATTCATTAGAAAACTTGTTGGGCAGCTAGGTGACGCAGTGGATAGAGCTCTGGCCTTGGAGTCAGGAGGACCTGAGTCCAAATCCAGCCTCAGATGCTTTACACTTACTATCTGTGTGACCCTGGGAAAGTCACTTAAACCCCTGATTGCCTCATCAAAAAGCACAAAACAAAACAAAAACTCATTCCCTGAAGTTTTCATGGTAATCTAATGATTCCTTTAAGTAACTTTTTATTTACCTGTAAAACCATTGAAGTTAACAGAATGGGCTACTTTAATTTTAGCTGATATATATTTTCATCTTGTATTTACTGTGTTTTTCTTTCTATTTAGATGAATTATGTGTTGAAGCACTTTGTAGGATGGAGCAAGCTAACTGCTCCTTTCAGGTATTTGACAAACATCCAGGGATCTATTTGTTCTTGGTACATCCCAATGAAATGGTGAGTTGTGAATGTGCTATGGCTGTGAAGTAATATTCATTGCATATTTCGGCTCTTATACTATGTTGTTTTTGTCATTACTAAAGCCTTCCATTAATAATATTACCTATAATATTTAGTTGCATCAAATTGATATTTTTATGATGTGACATACTGTTGTATAAAGAAATTTTGAGGGGGCAGCTAGGTGGCTCAGTGGATAGAGCACCAGCCCTGGATTCAGGAGGTCCTGAGTTCAAATCCGGCCTCAGACACATAACACTTACTAGCTGCATGACCCTGGGCAAGTCACTTAATCCCATTGCCTAGCCTTAAAAAAAAAAAAAGAAATTTTGAGTCACAGTTTGTATCTTGTTCTATGAGGACTGTTTGATTTCAGTTTTGAAAATATATCTTATAATTCAAAACATTTTCAAAAAATTCTTAAATTTTACACTACAAGTTTACAGATTTTTATACAGAGGTAAAAAACAGAAACATAGAATCATAGAAAGCATTCATTCTTATTACATTTCTCATTTTAAAATGAATTTCATAATAAGCTTCTTTCTGATCTGATTATTTTAACCAACAGCTTTAATTTAGAGTTGTTTTGATTTAATTAAAAATACCAAGTCTCATCATAGTTCTCGATCTTTTTAATATGTGCTTTTTCTTTCTTTCATATAGGTTCGACGATGGGCTATTCTAACAGCCAGAAACTTGGGCAAGGTAGACAGAGATGATTACTACGATTTACAGGAAGTCTTAACTTGCTTGTTTAGAGTTATTGAGTTGGGGCTTTTAGAAAGTCCAGATATTTACACTTCTTCAGAATTCGAGAAGGGCAAACTTGTCCTTCTGCCATCTCACATGTATGACACAAGTAACTACAAAAATTACTGGTTAGGTAAGTTTTGTTCTTAATGTGTTGGATTTTCTCAGTTGATTTCAGGTGTCCTGCATGGGAATTCTTCTCCATTTGTGATGTGATTACAAGATTGTTATCTAGTATCTCCCAGGTGCTACTAGTTCTTATTCTGTCATTGGAATAACTTTAGAAAGCCCTAAATTTTCAAGAGTATTTAAGAGGAGTCATGTGAACTCTTGAAGTTATATCTAAAACTCAAACCTCTTTATAAATACCATTACAAAAAAGTTTAAATCTTTGCAACTAAAGTATTGTCAAACACTAACCAATGGACCTCTTCTTTAAAGCAATATTTGATGTAACAAAATTTTATTACCACAGAAGAATTTTAATAACATTTGGCCTTTAATGCTTTTTTTCATCTGTGAGTTTTTCTAGTGGGAAAACAAAGGAAAAGTATTTTTTAAAACTGTATATCTGAGATAAATTTATTCTATATATGATCACAATCATCTGAGATGATTGTCTACTCAACAAAAATTTCTCTCTTTTTTCATCGAATTGATTGCCCTAAATTTTCAAGTGCCTTGGGAGTATTTAAGGGTTGTGTAGAAATGCCTTTGGTTTTTCCTTTTTTCCTTTTTCTTTTTCTTTTTTTAGGCAATTGAGGTTAAGTGACTTGCCCAGGGTCACACAGCTAGTTAAGTGTCAAGGGTTTGGTCTGAGGCCAGATTTGAACTCAGGTCCTCCTGAATTCAGGGCGGGTGCTCTATCCACTGCACCACCTAGCTGCCCTAAAATGCCTTTGTTTTAGACTGCCAAAAGTAGTTTCTTCATTGAGCTTTGTCTAAAGAACTCAAAGCTGCCATGCATTACTCATTTAGTCCCTGCTGAATAGTTCCTTTGGCCAACTACATCTTTTTAATATGTTGTTAATCTTAAGATTTCAGAGAAACAGTAAATTATATTTCATGAATCTATATGTTGCTGTTCATTTTTGAGGAGCTGATGATTTCAGGGAAATATGAAATTGTTTTTCAGGAATCTGTATGTTGCTAACTATTCTTGAGGAGCAAGCAATGGATTCTTTGTTGCTGGGCTCAGACAAGCAAAATGATTTTATGCAGTCAATACTTCACACCATGGAAAAGCAATCAGATGGTAACAAACTACTTGGGCAAAATACTTTGACATACTATAATGCAGAAACTCTTAATTTGTTAATGTCACTGTGAGAATTTGCTTTACTGTGAACAAATCCAGTTTTATTTCCTCCTTTTATTGTTCAGTGTCAGACCTAGATTTGGTGATGGTGATTTGGATAACTTTTGGAAAGCTATTAAGACAATGCCTGACTAGTATGGGAAGGGTGTGTGGGAAGGGGGGAGAAGAAACTTTTATCTTAATTTATTGTAATTCTGCTCTTGACAAACGTCATTAAACACAAGCAATTCTCTATACAAAACAAAACCAAAAAATTGCACATGAAAGCACGAATCTATAAATGGTACAGCTGTCCTGCTAGTCTGTGTCTTTTTTCTGAACTTCTTTCTGTTCTTTTCTGTGCATCTTTTTTACAATGCTAAAATGACCCTCTTTTCTTCTTTTTTGGCATCTGTGTTACTAGTATTAAAGCAAAACAAAAAGACAAAATCAGTCTACTTTGTAACAATTATATACAGCCAAGTAAAACATATCTATACTTAGTCCATGTCCAAAAATGTATATCTTTCCCTTGAGTGTCCCAAATGGGAGAAACACTTTTACAAAAATCATAATTGTGTACCACCATACTTGTATAACATTTATAGTAGAGACTTTGATAGACCTCCCTTGAAAATAAAAAAAAAAATCACATCTCTTTCTTTAAAAGTGGCTAGTATGTTTTATTTAAAGTTTCTTGTTGCTAAGCTTTTAATTTTGTATACATTTAATAATGACATTTGGGGTGAAAAATATACAGTTATCTGTAGAAGTTTTTCTCAAATCTTCCTCTCATTGAACTATTGTTAATTTATATTTCAGAGGATAGTGTGGATCCTTTCTGGCCAGCATTGCATTGCTTCATGGTGATTCTGGATCGCCTTGGCTCAAAAGTCTGGGGTCAACTTATTGATCCCATTGAAGCATTCCAGACCATTATTAACAATGTGAGCTACAACAAAGAAATTCAAAATATACGCAATAGTTCCACAAGGTTAGTTCCATTAACTTCTCTTTGATGTGTGGCACATAGGAGGTGCTTAATAAATCCTTTTTGATTGATTTAAAAATCTCTTTGTGTTAGTTTTGTGCTAGTATATAATCCCTTTACTCTTGGAGTATATTTCTCTATTCAAAGTACTTTTATTTATTTCTTAATGTTTTAAGGACGAAGTTAGAGCCTGAGTCAGATTTGGAGGAAATGGTGACTTGCAGCCAGATTGTGTACAATTATAATCCCGAAAAGACCAAAAAGGTATAAAAAACTTAATATTTGTTTTGAAAAAATAAATGAAATTGTGCTGCCTTTTTATGCTAAAGAAGTTAGGATTACAGTTGAATAATGTTCTGCATAATAATTTGGCTTTTCTGACTTTACTAACATACATGTTGACTTTTAAAAATTTTTTTTCAATGAACAAAATCTATTTTCTCTCCCATCTCCCTCCTTTCCCATTGAAAAAAAAGAAAAAAAAACCCTCATAACAAATATGCATAGTCAAGGAAAACAAATCCCATACTGGCCATATCCAAAAAAACTTATGTCTCATTCTGTACTCTGAGTCCATCACCTCCATCAGAAGGTGGGTAGCATGCTTCATCTGGAATTTTAGTTGGTTATTGTGTTGATAAGACTTCTTAAGTCTTCCAGAATTGTTTGTTTTTATGATGTTGTTACAAATGTATAAATTATCCTCCCAGGTCTGCTTACTTCATACAAGTCTTCCTAGTTTTCTTTGAAAACATCCCTTTCACCATTTTTTGCTACACTGTAGTATTCCATTATACTCCCCTTAATTTCCAATTTTTTGCCACTCTGGAAAGCTGTTATAAATATTTTTACTTACCTGTGGGTCCTTTCTTTCTGTTTTCAATTTCTTTGGAATATATTCACCTGTGTTACTGGGTCAAAGAGTGTGCACAGTTTTATTGACTTTTTGGATGTAGTTCTAAATTGCTTCCAAAAGTGGTTGGACCAATTCACAGCTGTATTGACAATGCATTGATTTGTCTGCTTTCAGTCCCTCTACTATATTTTAAGAATCTAAGCAATGGCTAGATTATAAGAATCTAAGCATCTTGATGGAGACAGGCTAGACCTTATATACAGAAAGACTGTGGGAGGGATCTAGGAGTGGCCAGTAAGCTGGGGTGAACAGAACATCCTGGGACCTGGAATGGCCAAGGGAGAATGGCGCCTGGCTAGGATTAAGGGTGGGAAATGGCCAGGTGCCATAGGGAGGTAAGACAGAGGAAGGCCAGGCTAGGTTAAGGGTAACAGAATTGGGAGATTGGGTGTAGCCACAATGAAAAGTCAGTTGATGGGATTATAGCCTCAGGAGAAAGCCAGAGATTTGGCTATGTGGGAAAGTCCAGGGTTTTTCTTTTCTGGGGTCCAGATCCCAACCCCATCATTCTCCCCTCAAACAAATGGGACCCAAATTCTTTTGGGGTAAGGGATGAAGGTCTTGGCTTCTGAAACTGCTTCCTACTGGCAAGGGGTGTAGAGCTGTCCGTGCCTTGAGGGGGTCCAAAAGAGGAGGTTGACTGGAACTGAGCACAGGCTGCATCTAGGGAATGATGGGGAGACCTTGGCTGGTATCCACTGTTTGCTACCAACTGTAGGTGAATGTCTGGAGTTATTTCAAATGGAATTACTTATTCTGTCTCTTCCTACTGGATTTTTTTTTTTGTAGCACAGAGAAATATTGATGATTTATATGGGGTTTTTAAATATCCTACAAGTATGATAAAGAAAGTTGCTGTACTTAATCTTTTTTGTCTAAAACTCCTTTGGTAATCTGGTGAAGCTAGTAGGTTCACCTTCTCAGAATAATGTTTTAAAATGCACAAAATAAGATACATAGGGTTACAAAGGAGACCAAGTATATTGAAATTCTATTCACAGACTCCGGGTTAAGAGAACCTTTGCCACAGCATCTTTGCTACTATTTTATTTAAAATTTTTGTCTCAGTATTCACTGGGGATGTTGGTATATCGTTTTCTTTCTCTGTTTTGATTCTCCTTGATTTAGATAATAAGACAATATTTGTATTATAGCAGAAATTTGGCAGGACCCTTTCTCCTTTTCTTTCAAATAGTTTATATTGGAATTAGTTGTTCTTGGAATGTCCAATGACATTTGCTTGTAAATCTCTGTTTTTGAAGTTTCCTCCTTTGGGAGCCTATTTATCTCTAGCTTAGTGGTTTTTCCCCTTAAGATTGTTATTTAAATTCTCTGTTTCTTAGTCTGTTTATTTGGGTACTGTGTGTTTTTGTATGTATTCATCTGGTTCATTTAAGTTGCTGATTTTCATTGGCATAGAAATGGGCCAAATTGTTTCTAGTAATTTTCTTCATTTCCTTTTTAATTTTGGGTACTGGTAATTTGGTTTCCTTCTTTTTAAAAAATAAAATTAGCTAATGGTGTATTTTCTTTTTTTTTTTCTTTAAAAAGTAAGCTTCTAGTTTTATTAATTCAGTGAGGCTTTTTGTTTTTGCTTTGATATTCAGAATTTCTCTTTCAGTTTTTAATTGAGGTTTAAAATTTATTAGTTTTCTGTTTTTTTATTTGCATTCCCAATTCATTGATTTGTTTGTTCCCTTTTTTGTTGATCAAAGTATTTAGAGATACAAACTTTCCCTTAAGAGGCTGCTTAAGCTGTATCCCCCAAATTTTGTTATGTTGTCTCATTGTCATGATCTTAAAAGAATTATCTGTTGTTTCTGTGATTTGTTCTTTGACTCACTAATTCTTTATGATTGTTATTTAGTCTCCAGTTAATTTTTAATCCTGTCTTCAGTCTTTCATTAACTATAAATGAATATATATAATAAACTGTCTTTAGTATTTCTACTTTTATGCATTTATTTATGATGTTTTATGCTATCATATACATATATATATATATATATATTATATATATGTATATATATATATATATATATGTTGATCTTTGTAAAGGTGCTGTGTATAACTGAAAAACATGTATACTGCTTTCTATTTCCATTCAGTAATCTTATCAAATCTAACTTTTCTGAAATTCTCTTCTGGTCCTTAACTTTTCTGATGCATTTTTTTTTTGGTTTGATTTTTTTTCTAGGTCTGAAGTGGATAAATTGAGATCTCCAATTATCATCATTTTACTGACTGTTTCTCCCTGTAACTTGTTTAGCATTTGCTTTAGTATTTAGATATGCTATGCCATTTGGTATGTGTATAATGAAGTATTGATATTAATTAATTTTTTGGTACTTTTTGACTGTCAACTGGACTGGAACTGGCCTCTAACCTGTCCAGAGCCAAACAGAGCAGGCTAGAGATAGGAGAGTCAGGACACAAACAGAAGTTTAATTTCAAAGTGAGGAAACCCTTGCAAGTGGAAATCCTCCTGAGGAAGAGGGCTTAACATGTTGGGGCAAAGGCAATGCTTTATATACATAATTGGGCTGGACCAAAACATAATCATTCTTAGCTGTTCTCATGGAAGGCTCATGCATGAACAGTGCAAACATTCCTGAGTCCTGTGGAAATAGTCTCCAAGTTAATTGTCTCCCAAACAAACAGAACCAGAGTTAGGGTAGTGGGATCAGGAGTGCAATACCTGGTTGTGTTCAGCTAATTTAGCTGTTACAAGAAACAGAGATTGTGAGCATGTCAAAAGGTGTGATGGATGGCTCTAAGGTCCCTGAGAAGTAGGGGCAATGAACACCTGGTGCTGGTCAAAGCAATAGGCTTTGTCAGAGGGTGAGATCATCAACAAAGGGTTATTATGCCAAGCTCAGGGCACAGCCTGCTTGCTGGGCCTTAACACTGGGAAATAGGGTATCTCCAAATATCTTGACACAACTTAAATGTAGTTTCCCCGTTCTCTTTAAATCACATCATTTTTGGTGTCACCTTGACTGAGATTATGATTGCTACTTGTTCTTTTTGAGTTCAGCTAAAGAATAATAGATTTTGCTCCAGCCTTTTATTTTAAATTTGAAATTTTAGGTTTCAAATATCTAGAGCACTCTCCTTCTTCATCTCCATCTCCTGGCTTCCCTGGCTTCCTTCAATCCCAGTTAAAATCCTATCTTCTAAAAGAAGCCTTTATGGCTCTCCCTTAATGCTAATGCCTCCCCAGTATATCCTGTATATATCTTATTTATATACTATTGTTTGCATGTTGCCTCCCCTGTTAGACTGTAAGCTTCTTAAGAGGAGCTTTTTTTTTTTTTGTATCCCTACAAAGGCGCAGTGCCCGGCACATAATAAAAAAAAAAAAGACTGACTGACTGACCAATTGATTGATTGAAGTGAATGTCTTAAAAAGAAAAGAGAACGTGCGAAAGAACCCTTGTAGTGAGTAGAATAGAGAATCATTTAGGGAAGGTTAAACAATTGCCTTGAGTCATTGAGGGACCACTTGAAATTAAACAGCATAAATTTGTCATGGACCCAATTAACAGCTCTTTGTAACTTTAGCTTTGTTCAGTCGTTAATACCATGCGTTTTTATAGTCTTTTACCATTTACAATTATTTTCCTTTACTTTATCTTACTTGATATTCACTACAACCTAATGGGGTATAATTATTATCCTCATTTTACAGATGAGGCTACTGAAGCTCAGTGGAGGTTAAATGATTTGCGTAAGATCAAGCAACTAGTGAGTAGCAAATCTAGGACTACACCCAGGTTTTACAATGTAATATAATTTTTGGACACCAGGCAGCATCTGCCTTGGCCATCTTTCAGCATACTAACTACACAGATATAGTTGTACATGTGAATTTCCAGAAGGCAAAATATAGAGTTTTGGCGGGTTAGTAGAAGAAGAAGACAGGTCTAGAAGGAGATGGAAACTGACTGAAGGAGGAGGAGAATGGACTGAAGAAACTCAGTAGTATTTAGTGTATCTGAGTTGGGAGAGGTATAGAAATGTATCTTCAGGTTACCTTCATACTAAATTCTAACTTGTTTCTACCCACTGGCTTTTATATTTAAAAATAATTTAATAACATAAATATTATAAAAGTTTAGCAATATATCTTGTTTAATGCTTTCAACTTTAATCTGTATGTTAAAGTAGTTAATCATAGCCTAGAAAGCCTTTATGTTAAATAGTTCATTTTTAACTAAATATCATTGTATTTTTTTAACCTTAGGATTCAGGATGGAGATCAGCTATTTGCCCTGATTACTGCCCCAACATGTATGAAGAAATGGAAACATTAGCCAGTGTGCTTCAGTCTGATATTGGACAAGACATGCGTGTTCATAATAGCACATTTCTTTGGTTTATACCTTTTGTTCAGTCCCTCATGGATCTCAAGGATTTGGGTGTAGCTTACATAGTAGAGGTTATTCATCATCTGTATTCAGAAGTCAAAGATGTCCTCAACCAAAAAGTAGCAGTATGTGACACAGTCACTGAGTTTTTCCTTCTGATATTGGTGTCAGTAATTGAACTGCATAGAAATAAGAACTGTTTGCATTTGCTGTGGGTTAGTTCTCAGCAGTGGGTAGAAGCAGTAGTGAAATGTGCTAAACTTCCTACCACAGCATTTGCACGGAGTGCTGAAAAGACATCTGGAAGCTACTCCAAAGGAGCAACTGTTATATCTTCTATGCCTTTGCACTCAATTCCATCTAATTCTGTACAGCTTGCTTGTGTGCAGCTGATCCGAAGTCTTCTTAGGGAAGGTTGCCAGCTTGGACAGCAAACTCTTTGTAAACAATTCTTAGACAAACTCAACTTGTGTCTGAGGGGAAATTTGTCCCTTGGTTGGCATTTAAATAGTCAGGAGACCCTAGAATTACAAACATGTTTGAAACAAATCATTAAAAGCAAAAAAGTCAGAGGATTACCATGTAGCACTTTTGTGGATAGGACCATAACATGTAAAAACCCCTCTGTAATTTACACTAAAGAAGAAAGTGATACAACTATGGAGAAATCAAAAAAGGATACATGTTCTCAGGACAGTTCTAGTCCATCATTTTCTAAAGAACCACCGAGAGCTGATGTCTGTCAAGGACAAGAGAGTCCATCTCTAAGAAGAAATTACAGTTGGGAGGAGGAAAATAGGCAAACATACTTAAAGGAGTCAAAACTAGATGACCATTTTTCAAATAAATCATGCTCAAAGCAGGAAAAAAACCCTGATGCTAACAGATCTCATAATCATGAAATTTTAGATAATGTAGAAAAACAGAAGTGTACTGAAGAGAACAGCTCCACAAATATACAACAGAATTTGGCTTCAGAAAATAATGGAGTGGAAGGAGGATATGACAGAACAGCAAATTTTCAGGCATGTTTGATGACAACTGACTCTAGATCTGATTCTCCTCAAAATGAATCAAGCTCAAGTGATGATTCCCGTTCAAAGAATGATTCTGGCTTTAGGAACTCAAAGTTTAGGAGTAAAGCACAGAAAGATGAATTATGTGCAAAATTATTACAGGTAATGAAGGAACACAAAAAAACCACCATGGTCGCCAGCGTTAACAATTTAGAATCAAAGCAGAGTTCAACCAATTTGGAGAGTCATAATTCATGCAAAGATGTGGATGTTCAGAAAGGGTTTGCCTTAATACAGAAAACACAGACAGAGCCTTGTATTATTCCAGAGGAAACAACAAATGAAGAGCAAGAATCAAGAAATGGTTATTCATTGGTTGAAAAGAAAAAGTCAGATGATAGACAGCTAGATCCCTTAACATTTCATAAAAAAGATAACCTACCACAGGAAAGTGATAGTGATGAAGATGATGATGATATGGTTTCACTTAAAACAATTAGAAACACCTTATTGAAAAAGAAATGTCAGCTTATACATCATACAGATAGGCATGAATCAAAGGACAGTAATTGTGAGGAAACTAATAATGATAATGATTATGTTCCACATAATTTGACAAGAGAAGAAGTGCCTCCTCAGAACTTTAAATTTAATACCTTAACAGATTCTGAAGTAGACAAAGACCTTGATATTCCTTTCATAGTCCATACCAGTGTTCTTAATTTCCCTTCAGATTCAACTCAAGAAAATTCTTACCAGCTACGGAGAAAAGTGAAAAATGTTAGGAGTCTTTCTGTAGTTAACGAAATTACTGAATTAACCTCTGTTGTGGAGACCACCAGAAATCAAGTTATAATCATTTCAGATGATGATGATGATGATGGTGATGGTGATGAAAGATCACCAAATCTTCAGAAACAAATTAAAACAGATAAAATAGGCATTAAGAGAGAATTTGCAGAAGAGTATCCTTCAACTTCTAATGCCATTTTGGAAAAGAAACTAGAAAAAGAAGAGAAAACAAAATCCCCTTTACTTGATGAGGAATCTGACTCACAGTTTTTTGAATTTGAAACTCCATATGAAGTATTTTCTGTTTGGCAAGATTCTGAACCGGAGAGCAAAAATTCTGTTCAGGAAAGTGAATCAGAACAAGATTCTTTTTTGACTTCAACAGGTAAGAGTGCCATAGATGATCAGACAAATGATTGGGATTATGATACTGATTATATATCTGATGAAGTTATTCAAAAGGTAGCAGAAACTCTTGAAGAACGTTTACAGTCACAGTGCGGTGTTTTTCCCAAGGAGAAATTTCAAATTGAATCAAAGAGTAAGAAACAGCTATCTAAAGCACCTATGGCTGAAGATCTTTCATTATGTTTAAGAAGTGTAGACAAACCTCATATTTGTATTTCTGGGGATCTTACTGAAGAGCACACTAAAAATGTAGATGAGAAGGAGGAGAAAGAATCTACATCCACTCTTTCAGCATCACCTAATTTAAAATTTGAAATTTCCTCTGAAGAGTCAGGTGAACAGTATTCTCCTCAGTCTCTTTCCAGTCCAAAACTTAGCGGAAAACCATCACTTTCTAAAAATTCAAAGAAAACCAGTATTAATCCCCCAAGAAGGCAAAACAAAAAAATGAATCAAGCTAGTCCCAAAAAGATACTTTGTAGAACAGTGCCTGCTGTGATTCCTCCAAAGAAATTTCGCCAGTGTCCTGAACCAACTTCAACTGCTGAAAAACTGGGTTTGAAAAAGGGGCCTCGAAAAGCATTTGATTTGTCCCAGCGATCTTTAGATTACGTAGTGAAGTTACGTGACCATGGAAAAACTGCAGGTGAAGTTGATACTCGGCAAAAGAAGAAGACAAAGTTAATTACTCCTCAGACTCTGGTTGTCAAAAATAACAAGAAAATGTTGGCATGTCAGGATCTTCAGTTTTTAAGACAGATGAGACCCAAGTCCCACAGAAACCAACAAGGACTTTCTGCCACTCACAGTAAAGACTGTTCTCCAAAGTCAATTACAAAACCAGTCCAGAATTCTGAAACTGTTATTCAAGCATCTTCTGGACCCAGTGACAATTTTAAAGAAAAAAACAAGCATGCCTCAAGCAATGATAAAAAGCATCAAAGAAAAAGCTCATTTTCTGAGACAGAAACAGTTAAAGGAAAAAGTCTATCACCGGTTGCTAATGACAGTCCTCTTTCTACCAAACAAAGTTGTACAGAATTAAATGTTAGAGCAGAAACAAATGAAGCCATTGTTTCTACTTCAAAGAGCCCTTTGTCTAACTCATCTTCTGTTGGAGGTGACCTAACAAGGGTTGTCCAACCCTTATCTTGTTTTCATTCTGAGGGAACAACTTTTAGAGAGGCAGACTCTGATGTTAACAGTGATACAGAGGAAAATAATTTGTTTTTAACACAATATGATCCTGTAGATATGGAATTAAGTTCACAGGTAGAGAGTTTTCATGACTTTGAAGTTCCTGTTGGAAAAGATACAGTAGAAATGGAGGAAGATTCTAAAAACCTTACTGGGGACAGGGCTTTGAGTATTATAAAGTGTAAGCACAAAGATTGTACTGACATTGTGGAAAATCTGGATGAATTTTGCTCTATACATTCTGAAGCTAAAGTGTCTGATGACTGTGTTTTTGCTAAACCAGGCTTACCACTTTCACTGTCAAACAAAACTGTAAAGTCTACTACTAAGATTTTTAGTTCAAGTAGTAATTCACGAAATGCTCATCTTTCTAGAGCTATAGAAAATAGTTTAAAACTCCCACCAGCTTCAAAAAATCAAACAAATTTGAAAGCCACAACTACGTCAAAATTAATGCAACCACTTTCTCCATTAGTTCAAAAGCCAATTTCGAATGAGGGGGAAAATTTGTCTAACATTCTTCAACCACAGAATATGCAGACTTCTCCAAATTACTTCAACAGACCTGCTCCACCAAGTCTCCTTGAGAAGAAAAGAACTTTTCAAGCTTCCTCTGTTGCAAATTTTCCTGTGTGTCAATCTGTATTTGACAGCTTTGTTAAGGAGATTTTAAAATGGAAGTATGAAATGTTTGTAAATTTTGATCAGTTTGGGCCTCCAGCAGATCTTTGCCAGTCGTCCTTAAGATCTGTTCCTGTCACATTTCAGGACTCTCAAGACTATCTAAATGTTTTTTTCCCTTTGCTGATGTTGAATACTTTTGAAACAGTAAGTATGTATCTTTGCCTTTATGAAATTTGCCATTCTCCTGTCTTTTCTGATTGACAAAGCATATTTTTAAAATTAATTTTTAGTGAAAAGAATTTTTTTCTCCTCTCTATCCCACCTCACACCTTAAGAAATGAAAAAAAGAAAGAAAAAACAAATCCTTGTAACAAATATGCATAGTCAAGCAAAATGAATTTCTGCAATAGCCATATCTTTAAAAATGTCTACTTCAGTGATCAGGGTATATTGTTAAAATGTTTAGCTTCAGTTGTCCTCTAGATTCAGATTTTAGATGTATTTAAGATTTCCACCATGCCTATTTCCAAAAGGATTTGAAGTACTTTGCAGATTAAAACATGGGACAAAATATGGCTATTTAAAGATAGAACAGAGATTTTCTGAAGGACAAGATAGTTCAGCTGAGATATATAAAACTTTTAACTCTAAAGCTTCATATAAATGTGAGTTATTTGTATATTTCAGCCACTTGATTTGAACAGATTATAGCTTTCAGGCAATTAATTTTTCCTCCATTTTAAATTCATTGATACTTTTCATTTTGCCACAGCATACTTCCCAGTTAGCTCCTATACAAAATACATTTGTTATTAATGGAAAGGGAAGGGTGTGTCCCTTAACATGAATAATGTGGTACTAACTACAAATTTTGCTCTAATCCAGTCATTTCCATATCTGGATATTCTAATTATGAATTGTTGCTGAGATATAATATGATTTTTAAAATTGTATTTTAAAGAATGGTTTCCTAAAATGTTTTATTGTTCTTAATTTGCCACTTTATTGTGTTTAGGTGGCCCAAGAATGGATTGACAACCCAAAGAAAGAGAATGCCTATAAGCTCCATTTACGAAGCTTTTCTCCTGGTGACATAAATTGTGGGCAGTTTGTGGGTAATTTTTTTTTTCATTTTTAAAGAGTTTTGAGAAATAGGTTCAGGTACTCTGTTTTTTTAATAAGAAGATAGGAATATTTGTCAATTGGATGTTTCTCATTTAAAAGAAAACCTGTCCAGCTGAATTTGTATCTACTTATAAAAATGTTTTTAATGTTAAATACTGATGGCCATTCAAGTATTACCAGCAAATGTGCTCTCTTAGGGGCCTGATACTTCCTTCTGAATAATTGTGGAAATACCCACATTGCATAGAGGCCAGGAATGGGAAAAGGGATCAGAGAAAGAATTTCACTGGGTCAGAACAGTGTTCATAAGGACATGAGACGATAACCAGAGGAAAGCTGCCTGTGTCATTTGTCATCAGTACTAGCCTAAAAGGAGCCCAGTTGGCTTTATAGACATACAACATTAAGAATTCAGTGGAATGTCCACCTCTTAAATTATTTTGTTTAAGAAAGAATAAGTAAGACTCACTTGATTTTTTGAAAATATACTGACCTCCCCAAATTAATAAATTCTTTAGCTGATTTGCTAATACCTAGCTAATAACAAATTAGAATTAAATTGATAATTATCACCCCAGTTTTGTGGTATTGATATTAAGTAAAAAAAATTTTATGTCACTTTTATGATAATATTCAAGATTGTATATTACTTCACTTGGTAAAGTAATTATTAGCACATTTTTATAATATGAGTGGTTTAAATATATACTCAGTTTGTCATAGTAACGAGATTTGAATTTTGCTAACTTACAGCCACTTAAATATTTCTATTACTAGCCATAGCTATAGTAAACGTAAGTTTTTATAATAAGCATGTAATTTTTTTCTAATTTAATTTTCTTGTAGTTTGTCTTCAGGAGTGTGATATGGCTAAACAACTACATCCAAAGGAAAATGACTTGGTATTTTTGGTTCCTAAAAAATTAAATGGAAAAAAAAAAGCTGCAGAAGAAAGTGAGATGAGAGATCAGCGAGTGTATCATTGTGGTTATGTATCTCAGTTTCGACGCTCTTCAGTCAGTAAGTGAATCAAAATACTGCAGGCAAAGATAGAATAAAGCCATAGCTTTTCATTGCTCATTTAAAGAATTTATTTCCCTAAACATAATGCTTTATGTTGCTTTATCACTCTGTTGTCTTTTTGTAGTTTTCGTAATTTTATAAATTTAGGCCTAGCATTAATTTTTCTAATTTTAAAGCTTTGATTTCCTTTTTTTTTTTAATTCTCTCATGCTGCTTATTGATGTCATCTGTGGAATTCTTTGTTTTTAAAATATTTAGTTGTATCATAAATTGGTTTCCAGTCTTTTATCAAGTCATATGACTTATAACTAAGATTTCTAAATGCATAATTCAAAATCTATAAAATAGTTGAAACTATTTCTGTACTTTAAAGTATCTGTCTGTGGTGACCCTGACTCCCAGTATTATGTATATTGCTTCCTTAACCTCTTCTATTTAAAGATAAGAATTGAGTTTGTATCTTCCATATGCCTTTTCATAGACATGTGGGGCTTTATTTCCTTGAAATGATTACAGGGCTCCATGGTGTAATGGAAAGAGTACTGGATTTGGAGTCAGAAGACCTAGGTTCGTATCCTGGCTCTGCTGCTTACTACCTGTGTAACTGTAGGCAAATCACTTGAATTTTCTGGGCCTCAGTTTCCTTGTAAAAGAAGGGATTTGGACTGCATGATTATTAAAGATCCTCTCCAATACTACAATCTGATCCAATACTTTGTCATTTTAATATGTAGTGTACTTTATTAAAATGTATAGACCCTAAGTCCTTAATTCCTTGGTATAGAATGCATTTGGAAGAGTTGAAAGAGGAAATACCAGATTTAATTGAAACTCCAAGGCCTTTAGACTGCGGCTTTCTTTTAAAAAAATTATTGCTATCTTGTATTTTTATAAACATCACCTTCATTTCTAAATATATCTTACCCTGTTGCAAAGAATAAAGAAAGGGGGGGAAAGCAATTCAGCGAAATTAACCAACATATCAGTTGAGTCTGACAGCACATGCAGTTTCTCATATCCATTGTCTCCTACCACAGCAAAGAAGGGAAGGGAGGTTCATTTTTTCATTTCTTTTTTGGGGCAAATCTTGGTCATCATAATTACACAGCATTCATTTTCTTTTTGTTTATTATTTCTATTTACATTGGTATACTCAGTGTGTATTTCTTTACTGGTTTTGCTTACTTCACTTTGTATCTGTTCATATAAATCTTCTTGTGCTTGTCTGTATTCTTAATATTCTTTGTTTTTGCATTTGCTTTTAGAAGCGAAATTAAATTTACTAACAGATGTAGCTTTAAGAAATCAAGTCACTATTTACTTTGTGTAGAAAATAATCTACTAGAAAGTAAGACAGCATATAGAAAATCAGTTTTGTTAAGTTTAATTCTGAAAGCCCCATTTAGTTTGATTGTATCCATTGTTAATACTATATACATTTTCTTTCTCCCAATAATAGGACATAATTCACAATTTGAGGGTTGCCTTTCCATCCAGACTCAAGGCAATTTGTCATTCCACATAAATGAATCAGTAGACTGTATTGTGATCAGTTCTTTGGTGACTACGCAACGGAAGTTGAAAGCCTTGTCTCTTTTGGGGAGGAATTCACTGATTCCACTGGCCAGGGCAATTCTGAACCCAAGTACTTCAGACTTTTGTCCTCGAGATTCACTGAACGAGGCTCCTGAGAGGATTGTGAGTAATATTTATGTGTGTGTGCCAGGGAAAGTCAGAACATTACATTTAAACACTCTAAAACCAATATAAACTATTAAATTATTATTTTAATTTACTACATTTCCCTGCTTCTCTGAACATAAGACAAGGTTAATATTATAAGCACAGTAATATTATAAGTGCAGTAGGTTTGTTCCAGGAAGAAAATGTTTCAGTAGAGTTAAGGAGATCAAAATATCTTTATAGAACAGCAGTGAAGTGTAGCGTAGTGGATAGAGTACCAGACTTGGAGTTAAGAAGATAGAGGGTTCAAATCCTACTTCTGACAGTTGCTAGTGGAATGACCATTGGCAAGTAATTTAACCTCTCTGATCCTTACTTTCCTTATTGTAAAATGAGGGGGTTAGGGTAGATGACTTCTGAGGTTCTTTTCAGCCCTAAATCTATTATTATCATTCCATTTGAATGTTGGAAAAGGATTAAATTCATCATAGTTTGATGTAGGAATTAATATGAAGTGTGGACTACAAATAGAGAAGGGGATATGTGCAAATGCCTGGGTTAGTTAGTACTTTTCTAAGCTATTTTATGTCAGAATTTATTATGCATCCATTTTGCATAATTACATGAATGCTCTGGAGAATTAGAAGGAAGTAGTAAAAATGTAGGCTGCTTTTCCATTGCTTAGGTGCTAATGAGAAAGACCAAGAATATAGAAAAGAAAAACATAAAGATAATTGAGGTTTACTAAAAGTTTTGGGGATTGGTAAAGTCAATCAACAGTATTAAGAACAGCCCAAGGTAAGCTCTAAAGTAGTTTAACAATACAGGGGTGATGTTGGAATATGAAACTCATTCATTGAGTGAAAGAAGTCTTGAAGCCATATCTTTTTATGTTCAGATTTGGTGCTGATAAAGTGAGGAAGCAGACATTTCTATCTTTGCTTTACCTTAGCCATCCACAGAGATGGATCTTTAGACCTTACCACCTCCCCAACTTGCCACTTTCATGATGTTGTACTCAATAATATCCTTCTCATTGTAATTTCAAGAAAAAGTTTTTCTCTTTCAGCCTTGATCCTTTCAAACATGCTCTTCATTCTTCTTACAACTTATTACATTGCATCCTTATCACAATTGCTGTTTCTGTTTATCCAGTCCATAACTCATACTCCAATCTCATTTCATTTCTTGGTTCCATGTTTAACCGATTCAGTTATGTTCTGTCCTCCATTTTTAGGACCTTTGCCCTCTGTTCTTCTGCTCTTCATTGCCCTGCCAATTCCCATTTCTTGATCATCCCACTAGCTGCCTTCTCTGTTCTTATTCCTGAGTTGGAGAAAGAAAGTACAGCTTCTTGAGGGCAGGGATTTTTTCATTTTTGTCTTTTTATCTCCAGTGCCTACCATAGTGCCTTGTACACAGCTAGCAGATAATAAACTGAAGGCATGCAACCATGATGATTGGGTCCCCTACAAATAATTGTTCTTTATTCTCAATTAGACTCTCAGTGTTGTTTGTCTTCCTTGATTTGCTTTGTCTCACATTCCCCAAAGTGGCTGTTCCAAATGTTTCCTTTAGCCTCCAGTGTCACTACCAGCAGCAGACAGTCACTACCTCTTTTACTGAAAAAATTGTAGTCATCTGTCATTAATTTCCTTTTCTTTCCTAATCTGTACTTCATAGCCCTCCAAATTCATATCAGTCTTCTCCATTGTTCTAGTTGCTGCAAAAAAGATGGCTCCTCTTAACAAGGCTAACTTCTTTACTTGTGCCTGTGATCTCTAATCTCTTCTAATGGCTTGCCTCATGAGCCATTCCATCTTTTTTTTGTCTCTACTACTGACTCTTTTTCTGTAGCCTGCAAATATGTTCATCCTTTTAAAAACAACAACTTTTACTTGACTTTGAGATCATCTTTAGCTATATCATCTTATATCTTTCTTCACTTTCACTGTCCTAGAAAAGTGAATGAATGAATTTGAAAAAACAAGCATTTGTTTAGAGCTTACTCTGTGCCAGGCATTGAGCTAAATGTTTGGGATACATAGACAAACAAACAAGACTAATCCCTACCTGCAGGAAGCTTAGATTCTACTAGAGGAAGACAACACCAAAATGGGGAGCTTAAGTTGGGAAGTAGGTGGTTGGGGAATTGGAGTAGGTTAAGGGTACCCTTGAAATATCTGCTTATACTTGTTGGCTCTACTTCTTTAGTATTCACTCTCTTCTCAGTTTCTTGAAGTCCACTAATCACATCTCTCTGCTGAAACTGATCTCTCCCAGAATAACCAGTGATCTTTTAACTACTAAGTTTACTGTTGTTTTAAAACTGAGTCCTATTTTCCTTGAACTTTCTGTAGTTGTTGGCAGCCTCCTCTTTCTAGACACTCTGTTTCCTCTTGTCTTCTGAGACACTGCTGTCTCTTCTGGTTCTCTTTTTACCTGCCTTTGCTGAATCATAATCCAGATATTCCTTTCCTTTGTGTGAGTGTTCTTCATGGACCTCAGTCCTAGGATTTCTCTCTGTATGCTTGCAACCCTGATGAATTCATCTATTTCGGTAGGCTTGTTTATCATCTTTATGCAGATCTTTTATATCCATATATCCAGCTTAACTCCCTCTTCATGAACTTTAAACCTGCATTGCCAGCTGCCTGCTTGACATCTGTATCTGGATGTCCCAAAAAAATCTCAAATTCAGCATGTCCAGAGTAGAATTAAATATCATCTTTCCTATATCTGACTCTCCTCCAAATTTCTTTATTCCTATTGAGAGTACCTTTATCCTTTAGTCAACCTGATTCAGTCTACAGTCATCCTTGATTTTTCATTCATCCTTATCACCTATATCTAGTCAGTTGCAGCTGTAGTTGACTGGATTGATTGGATTTAAATACTTTATAATCACTATAAATTATTAAATTGCAATTTTAGTTGCTATGTTTTCTTGCTTGTCTAGTACTTGACCCAGAGGAAACATAATAGCTCTCGTCAAGTATTTGAAGGGCTTTGAGGTAGAGGAGGGATTAACTTTGTTCTGTTTGACATCAGAGGGATGGAAACAAACGCAGTGGGTAAAAGTTAAAACAAACTTGGCTTTATGTCAGGATAGTCTTCCTAATATGGCCAATTCTTACTTAAGTGGACTGTTCTACGGACCTCCCCTTCCCTCTATGGCTCTGCTCCCTCTCCTATCCTACCACCCCCAGTGGGGTGCCTGGTGGGGAGTACTCCTGGTAGGGGTCTGGCCTGCCATAGAATGAAATTTGCATAATGCTTATCTAAAGCAAGAACTGGCTACATTTAGAGATGTCCAAAAGTGGAATGGTCAGCCTTGAGATTTTGTGGGTTCTTCCTCCTTAGAGGTCTTCAAACAGAAGCTGGATGACCACTTATATGTGTTTTAAGGAGATTCTTTTCATTTATAGATTGGACTAGATGACCCCTGAATTCCCTTCCAACTCTCAAATTCTGTTTCTGTGACTGTCCCACAGCAGCTTTCACATCTGCCCCCTTCTCTCTACTCAAATGGCCTCAACCCTGGTACAAGCATGTTTTACCTCTTGCTTGAACTGTTGTAGTAGGCAACTAATTAGTCTCCATGCTTCTAGTCTTTTTCTTTGAAGTCCAGTCTGTTCTCAACATAGCTGCCAAACTGATATTTCTAAAACAAATGTAACTGTGTCATTTTCCAGTTAAAAACAATCATTGGCTTCAAGCCTGTTTTCTCAAGGATATAAATGCAAGTTCTTTGGCCCAGCTTTTAAGGCCCTGTACAATATGAGCCCAGCTTCTACCTTTTTAGCCTAATTTCACATTATTCCCTTTTGTGCACTCTACTTTACAGCCATAATGGACTGCCAGCTCTTCCCCTGAATTCTTCATTCCGTCTCCAGATTATGTGCATTTATATAAGCTATTCCTCATGCCTATTCTATTTAATTCAACAAGCATTTTTTAAGTATTTATTACATGTCAGGCACTGGGGGTAAGCACCAGTGATACAAAGAAAAGCAAACCAATCCATGACCTTAAGTAGCTTACATTTGGCAGGGATAGAGGTGGCAAACAAATGTATACAGAAAAGTAATATAGAAATCTATACAAAATAAATATAAAGGAACTTTTTAGGAGTGGAACATAACAACCAGGGGAATTGGTAAAGGTTTCTTACAGGAGGTGGTACTTGAACTGCGTCTTGACTAGAGTTGAAGTTTCCCATAGGTGAGATGAGGAGGGAACACATTGCAAACATGAGGGACAGCCTGTGCAAAAGCATAGAGACAGGAGATAGACTGTTATGTACAGAGAACAACAAGTAAACCAATTTGGTTGGGACATATAGTACTTGAGAGGGACTAGAACAATCAGTCTGGAAAGATAGGTTAGAACCAGATTGTGAAGGGCTTTAAATGCCAGGCAGAAAAAACTTTATGTTGTCCAAGGGAAAATGAAAGCCACTGAAGTTTCTTTTGTTACTTTCCAAACTTTGAAGTTTCAAAATGTCACTTTTGCAGCTGTGTGGAGGATAGATTGGAGAGGAAATAGGTCTAATGCAGGAAGACCAGTTATGGAACTATTACAGTAGTCCAGATGAGAGTTGATGAGGGCATGATTCAGGGTTGTGGTTGAGTGAATTAGAGAGAAGAGAATGATTGTGAGAGATGTTGAGGAATTGACAAAATTTGGCAACTGATTTGTTAGGGAGTGAAAAATCAAAGATGACTCCTGGATTGCAGACCTGGGTGATTGAAAGAATTGTGCATGGTACCCTGACAGAGAGAAGAGTTAAGAGGAGAGATGGTTTAGGTAGAAGACAATGAATTTTAAATTTGAGATGCCAGTGGAACATCTAGGCGGAAATGTCCGGCAGGTAGCTGGAGTTACAGGAATAGAGTTCAGAGACCTAATAGCTGGATATGTAGATTTGGGAGTTTTCTGTATAAGCTATAGTTTAACCTACGTCCATTGATGAGATCATGAAGAAGGGGAAGAAAAAGAAGAGAGGAGGGACTTACATCCACACATAGAGGTTGTATCAGATAATGATCCTTCAAAAGAGATTAAGAAATATCAAGCAGACAGGAGGCAAACTATGATAGAAATAGTGTCACAAAAACCCAAAGAGGAGAGTAGTGTACCTAAAAGAAGGGGGAGGTGGTCTGGTCAGCTGGATTAGATGCTGTGAAAAGATCCAGAAAGGATGGGGAATGAGAAAGGGCCATTTAATTTAGCAATTAAAAAATCATTGCTGACTTTTGAGAGAGCAGTTTCAGATGAGTTTGAGGATGAAAGTCACATTATAAGGAGTGGAGAAACAAATAGGAGATCAGAAAGAGAAAAAATAGATCACTTTTTGCCTGAAGTATACTTCTCATCTCTGTCTTTTAGAATCCTTATCTTCCTTCAAGGTGCAGCTTAGAGGTTACCTGAGTCCACAAAGCCTTCCTTTTATCTTACCTGGAAATCTCCTTTATCTCTCCCAGTTAACATTTTTCTCCATCCTCAATTTATATTGTATTTATTTATGTATGTGCGTATAATATACTGTTAAGAGAATACAAGCTTCTTTAAGGCAGGTACTTTTTCATTTTTGTCTTTGTATCTTCAATGCCTTATGCATTCTAGGCTTAATAAATGTGTTGAATTGAGCTGAGAAAGTAAAATTTAAACTTTCATTACATTTCCTTCAATGTACTATTTAAAAAAAAGCAAATAATTTAATTTTCATTTTTATATAGCTTGCCTACCTGAAAGAATATAATGAAGATCAGAAAAAAGCAATTGAAGTTGCATATGCCATGGTAAAGCAACCACCGTTAATTGCCAAAATCTGTCTGATTCATGGACCCCCTGGAACTGGCAAATCAAAAACTATTGTTGGCCTATTATATCGTATTCTGACAGAGGTAGGTGTGTGTGTGTGTGTGTGTGTGTGTGTGTGTGTGTGTGTGTGTGTGTGTGTGTGTGTGTGTGATGAGTTACATTTTGTGGTATATGCCAAATTTCTTCTGTTAATTTTATTCAGATTATCATCAGTAACTATGTATTGACATAATTTTTGCACTTTTACTATATGTCTGTGATATAAAACTGTTATTGCACAATGTCTATTAGAACAATGGCCATGGAAGAAGGAAACTGTTGAGTTGACAGGGAATAGGTTTTAATATATCTATGACAACCCCAGATTTTAAGAACAAGACTGATTTTTTGAGACATTAAGACAACAAAAGACATTTAGAACTGAATGGAGAACTAAGAGATAGCATGTTTCCTATATGTAGAATAAATACAGCTTTATACAGGATAAATAGAAGTAATCAACAGAGGGAAGGTACTAGAATTAAGAGGGATAGGGGAAGACTTCCTGTAGAAGATGAGCTTTTATCTGGGCCTTAAAGGAAGCCAGGTAGGGCAAGAGGCAAAGAAGAAGAGGTGGAGTATTCCAGGCATGGAGGACAGCCAGTGAAAATTTTCTGTAGTCAAGAGATGGAAAGTCTTGTTCAAGTAAAGCAAAGAGGGCCAGTGTCACTGGAACAAAAAGTATATGGGGACAGATAAGATATGAGAAGACTAGGAAAAGGCGTGCAGGGGGAGCATAAGGAGGAGACTGAAGAAATGGTGCCATGGATAGAGTGCCAGGCCTGAAATCAAGAAGACTTGACTTCAAATTCTGCCTCAGATACTTGCTAGCTATGTGACCCTGGGAATGTCACTTAACTTCTGCCTGCCTCAGTTTCTTTATCTGTAAAATGAAGATAATAATAGCACCCACCTCCTAGGATTTTAGTGAGAATAAAATGAGATTCTATTTATGAAGTGCTTTGTAAATGTCAAAGCACTATATAAATGCTAACTGATGATAATGATGATGGTAATGATGATGATAATGATGTAGGTGATGTACTTTGCAGCATTAAATTGACAAGCCAGGAAACTTTCCTCCTTCCATCCATTTTAAAAGACCTATTAAAATGAACTCCAAGAGACTTTTCTGATTTTTTTGCACTGGAATTTGTGTTTACCCAATATTATTGAAATAGACACGTTTGTTATTCAGAGATTTTTCTTATAATGAATCTCTGATGGAATTTACCCTGTAACAGTCCTAATGACATTGTCTTACCCTCCAATCCCTCTCCTTTACTAACTTTCCTTATATTGATTGAGGTCACCACCATTCTTCTAGCCTCTCAGGTTCATGACCTCATTGTAAAACTGAAACTGCTCTCCTGAAAATTACCAGTTTAATTGGTAATGCTTAATTTCAAAGTGTAATAGGCCTTTTTCAGTCTTCATTCTTTTCTCACCTCTGCATTTGACACTGTTGACCATCCTTTCCAGTTTACTCTTTTTCTGGGTTTTAATGACACTACTGTCTCCTGCTTCTTCTCCTACTTGCCTATCTACTCCATTTTAGTCTCTTTTCCTGACTCACCTGCCATATCTTGCTCCCTAACTGTGGCTATACCCCAAGGCCCTAGGTTTTTGTTTCTCTCCGTACTAAGTACCCTTAGGGATCTCTTATCAGCTTCCGTGGCTTTAATTATACAGATGATCCAGCCTGAGCCTCTTTCCTGAGCTTCAGTCTTGAATCACCAACTGCATTTTGGACATTTTAAAATGGATGTCTTATAGACATCTTAAACCAACGTGATCAAAAAAACCTCATTATCTTTCCCTCTGAATCCTTTCCTCTACTAACCTTCCTTATTTCTGTCAAAGGTACCATCATTCTTCTAGTCACATTTCATAACCTCAGCTTCTTCAACTTTTCTCTCTTCCTCACATCATATATGTAGTCAGTTGACAAATTTTACTTTTTCTGCCTCTATAGCACCTCTCCTGTCACACCTCTTCTTTCATCTTCTCCACAAATGAATTTCCTATAGTGCAGACCACTCACTTAGTAAACTCCAGGGGCTCCCTATTGCGTCTTGCATCAAATATAAACTTTTAGTCGGCTTTGAAAGTCCTTCATAATTAGGTGTTACCCTTTCTAGCCTCATTATGTGTCACTCCCTTTCCTGCTTTCTCTGGTCTAGCCAAACTGACTGCCTTTCTGTTTTCACACATGACACTATAGTTCTGCTTCCAGGACTTTGCACTGGCCATTTCCCATGTTTGAATGTACTTTCTTTTCTTTTTTTTAATAATTAATTTATTTTTAGTTTTCAACATTCATTTCCATAAGATTTTGAGTTTTAAATTCCCCCTCTCCCCGACCAAGACAGTGTACAATCTGATATAGGTTCTACATATACATTCATGTTAAGCATATTTTCCCATTAGTCATGATGTAAAGAACAATTAGAACTAATGAAAGGAACCATGAGAATGAAACAATAAAACAAAACAGCAAAGGAAAAGGAGAGCAAATAGTATGGTTCCATCTGCATTCAGACTTCATATTTCTTTCTCTAGTGTGGACAGCAATTTCTATCACAAGTCTTTTGGAGTTGTCTTAGATTCTTGCATTGCTGAGAAGAGCCAAGTCTATCAAAGTCAGTCATCCCATAATTGTGGCTGTTACTGTGTACAGTGTTCTCTGGGTTCTCCTTATTTCATTCAACATCAGTTCATATTAATTCTTTCCAGGTTTTTCTGAAGTCTGCCTGCTCATCATTTCTTATAGTCCAATAGTATTCCATTACATTCATATACCACAACTTGTTCAGCCATTCCCCAATTGATTTGCAATTCTTTGCCACCATAAAAAGAGCTGCTATAAATATTTTTGTACATGTGGGTCCTTTTCCTGTTTTTATGATTTCTTTGGGATACAGCCCTAGAAGTGGTATTGCTGGGTCAAAGGGTATGCACAGTTTTATAGCCCTTTGGGCATAGTTCCAAATGGCTCTCCCAAATGGTTGGATCATTTCACAACTCCACCAGCAATGCATTAGTGTTCCAGTTTTCCCACATCTTCTCCAGCATTTATCATTGTCTTGTTTTGTCATGTATTGATAGGTGTAATGTGGTACCTCGGAGTTGTTTTGATTTGCATTTCTCTAATCAGTAGTGGTTTAGAACATTTTTTCATATGGCTGTAGATAGCTGTAGTTGAATGTACTTTCTTCTTAGGTTTGATTCATAAAATTCCTCACTTCTTTCAAGATGCAGTTCAAGCATCACCTTCTATAGCTTTTCCTGATCCCTCCAACAAGTAGTGGCCTTCCTTCCTAACTATGTTGTATTAACTACCTTGTATTTATATACTTAGGTGTTTATATATTGTCTCCCTTGAGAGAATGTAAACTCCTTGAGAGCAGATTGTTTCATTCCTTTGTAACCTCAGCACCTGGCACAAGACTTAGCACATATAGTAGTCATTTAATAAATACTTATTGGTTGATTAGTTAAAACTTCTAGCAGTGAGAAGAAAGTTTTTCTGCATTGCTCACTATCAAGAGTCCCCAGTTCCCCCCTTTTTTCCCTTCTCTTTCCCCCCCCCTCTATTTTTTTTTCCTGGCTAGGCAATAGGGTCAAGTGACTTGCCCAGGGTCACACAGCTAGTAAGTGTCAAGTGTCTGAGGCTGGATTTGAACTCAGGTCCTCCTGACTCCAGGGCCAGTGCTCTATCCACTGTGCCACCTAGCTGCCCCCCTTCCTTCTCCTTTTAAAAGATATTATATAATGATTTTTCTAGACTGTAAGCTTTATGAGGGCAGGGACTGTGTTTTATCTAAACTTTGTTTCTTTTCTTCCTGATACAGTGTTTTGTACACAGCAATGCCATAATTTGTTTGTTGATGAATGAGTGAACAAATGAATTATCTAGGGGTTTCTGTTTCAATTTATGAAAAATAAATATATTATTTATAGAATTGAGGCTGTCCAATATGAGACTGGAAAATTTTGTTGTTTGTGGCCTTTAAGTATGAAATGGTAAATATAGTTTGGACTCAAGACATAGCTTAAACTTCACATTGCAAAGTAGAACTCATTGTATGTTTTCTTTGGGAAATCTGTAGAAACCAAGGAAAGGAGATTCAGATGAAAACTTGAATGCCAAAATCAAACGAAATCGTGTTCTTGTATGTGCACCCTCTAATGCAGCTGTTGATGAACTTATGAAAAAAATCATCCTTGAATTTAAAGAAAAATGCCAAGACAAGAAGAATCCCTTGGGTATGGTCTTTTTATTATTTTAGTTGTCTAGTGTGGGCACTTTTGAAGGAGAAATGTGAGACTTGAATACATCAAGTCAGAATCTCTGTTGGGGTCACAGTCCTTATTTAGTAACCTTAACAGTTAGCCATCTACTGGAAGGAAACAGTACCGAATGATTCCTAAATACTTTATATTTTGTGATCGCCTGTCACACTTATAAGTGGTTCCAGAAGCTTTCAGGGGAAACCAACCTAGGAGCAAAACTTGTAGATAATATTTATCCACACTCTGATAGTTGAAATTTGATGGTGCTGGGTTACAAGATAGCAATTAGAAGGTAAAAATCAAGTTAGGTAGTCAACTCTTTATATTTGAGATAGGGAATTCAGTTTAGTTTGACAGATAGAATGGGTTATCTGATGTGAATAAAAATACTTTTATAAACCAAACTCCCTGTAGGTTAAATATTAATTATTTTCTAAAGCATTCAATCTGAGAATCTAGAAAATCATACTTTCTTTTAATTCTTATTAAAGAAGGGTAGATATTTTACTATCAAAGATAGAGGGGAGAGGAATGGAGGGATTAATCAACAATTTTCCTCATTGATCATCCTATGCAATTTTTATATACAGGAAATTGTGGAGATATAAATTTAGTGCGACTGGGTCCAGAAAAATCTATTAATAATGAAGTCCTAAAATTCAGCTTGGATAGCCAAGTTAACCACAGAATGAGTAAGTATGAACTTAGGCTTATGTAGCTTTCACCACTTATTTTATTATACTCTGCATGACTTGGACATGAAATATAATTGGCACTCTCTTGGAACTTGGAAGTTATTAGTTAGAATTTTTTTGATTATGTTTAAGCCATAGTAGTTGTATTAATTAAGTCTACTTTTTTTACCTTTACCATTTTAGAAAAGGACTTTCCCAGTCATGTTCAAGAGATGCATGAGAGAAAGGAACATCTGGATGTTAAATTAGACAAGCTTTCTCGCCAGCGTGCTTTGGATCGATGTGAAAAGGGGCAGAAGGTAGATACGGTCTTACTGTACATCAGATAGGAAGAAGCTGATTAAGTGATTGACATTTCAAATCAGCAAAAAATAAAGTGTTGATGTTCCAGTGTAGTAAATGGAGAGTATTGGCTCAATTCAGTTCATATTGAATTGAATTAAATTTGTTGAATGAATAGAATTGTATTGCTAAAAGAGTGGGATAGGTTAATAGTGATTTTGATATCTCTCCCACAGGATAAACTGGCTTTTACTACATTAAAGAAAGTTTAAAATCTATAGGAAAAAAGTTCATAAATCCTTATCTCTAGTAATCCTTAGCTTTAACAGTGTGATTGTTATTTTTGTTTTTCAGAGATCAAATTTAGATGAGGAAATTGCCCGAATTTCCAAAGAAAGGCAGCAGCTCGCTTCTAAAATTAAAGAGGTAATGGATACTCCCATATCAGTTTCTTAATGTTACCGTAATTATAACCAATTTTTATCTTCTCCGTAATATATGAATGAGTTTATCACTCGCCAACTAACAGCTTTAAGAAAGGTTAATGAATGTTATCTTTCTTCTTTGCTCTAGGTCTGTAAACTCCTTTGTTAAGTAGACTTTGGGATCTTTTTAATTCTGCAAGAAACAGTATTGGTCAGAATACTTATCGGTGAAAAGAGTGTTAGTGGAAATAAATAAAATTAGTATATACATTTCTTTATACATTGTAAATAATTTGAAATTCATGGTTTGGTGTGTAGTCTTTTAAAAGTTTTCTTTTCATTTGAATGCTTTTATTGATGGTTATAATTTAGAGTTTTTAAAAAATAGAACAGTGGTTTCTTTTAGCAGTTTACACATTTTGAGATATGTGTAAACTGGAATAAAGAAACAGAAAAGAACAGAAAAGGGGGCTATTTCTAGCTTTAGTTTTACTATATTGGTATGTACTATTATCTGATTGTATGAATGCTTCTATGATGTTATGGCATTTTTTATTTTTCTTTAGAAATAAGAATACTAGACTTAGAAGTTTGACAAAAATTATATAGCAGAGATTCTCTATATAAATCTGTTGAGAGATAGGTTTGTATCATGACTGTTCTAATCAAACTCAAAGAGGATTGTATACATTTATCATAATAATATTGGGTATTCAAAACAGATTTTCCTTCAGTATACTCACACTTTTGGATATATTCCTGACATTTTGAATGTGGGCAAGATAAATGCTATTTTAATTTAACTCAGATTTTCAGTTCTTGTCTATATTTTAATATAACTAAGAATGATGTTGGATTAAAATTTAAGCTAATTCCATTAACATTCAGTATGCCAAGTCCAATGCACTGGGGCTATAAAGACAAAAATAAAAATTTTTCTTTAAGGACCTTACATTCTCTTGAGTGTAAACACCATATACACAGATAAATAACAACAGTAAACATATACACCCACACACATAACCAAAGTAAATATAGATTAATGTGAAGATGAATTAGTTCAGCCTCATCACTTAAATTTTTTTTTATCCTGAACCTAACAAACTTGAACATTTTAATATAAAAAATAGAAAATGAAGATTGTTATAAGATCGAAAATCTCTATTACTGACAACTTATTTTTTAAAAAAGTATATAGTAAATTTAACAGGGTAGTTCCAACTTTGCATTGCTTGTCTGTATCTCCTTCTGAATTTCCTTCTTTTCTTTTTTGTGTATTCTTAAAATTCAACCCCCTCGTTTTCCAGAGGAAGAAACTGAAATCCAGAGAGTTGAGTTCAGTGAGGTCACAGGGCTAGTGAAGACAGCTGGAACTAGAATACACATCTTCTCACTCCAAACCCAGTGCTTTTTTTACTGTACCATAAGGCCATTTTTGTTTATGTCTCTGAGCTTTATTTTCCTCATCTGTAAAATGAAAATAATAGAATGTCTCTACTTACTTCATAGGGTTATTATAAAGAAAGAACCTTGCTATATGTGTATAACCTATTATTAATTGAGGGATTGGGGATAACAGGAAAATTATCTAACTCTAGCCCTTCAAATACAGTTATTTGTACTTGAAGCATTTAAAATGTAGGAGAAGAGCAAGAAATTAAGGGGAGGCTAAGAGAGATAGCTGAATGTGAAGGAACTACAAAAGCAATTACATACTAAATTTAAGAAAGTTTACATATACGATCAATGGATTGCTAATTGTTACTTCACTTATGCTTTCAAATTCCTGAAAAATTATATGTAATATTTTAACATATACCACTTATTTTAGTTGAATATGTTAGTTGATAACATTTAGTTGAATGTTATCAACTGTTTAACTGAAGGCAGTACAATGGAGGCTATTTGTGTTATAATAACTTGAGTACTGGATATACCTTGCATCACCTTGCATATTTTCTTATGAAGATCATTTTAATTTAGCTAACTTTAGAGTATGCAACATATAATATCATTTTTGTATTAGTATGACCTATATGGATTGTTGTTTCATTTAATTTTAGTTTTTCAAGGGCAGGTCAATTCAACAAACCTTTGTTAAATATCTGTAGTTTGTAAGGCATTGCGTTTAGCTACGGGAATACAGAGATAGCAAAACAGTGCCAACCTTTAAGAAATGTACATTCTGCTCAGGTGATATAGAATATTCACAGAAAAATATAAGATGATTTTAGGAGGGTCAGAGTACAAACACCAGAGGGAGTAGGAAAGATTTTATGTAAGGGTGGCACTTAAGTTGAGTCTTTAAGAAGTCAAGGGTTTTAAGGGTAGAAGGGAGGAACAAATTAATTCCACATGAGAGGACAATTCGTTTGAAAAACCTCTGATGTATTTAGGCTGAATCTCTGATAAGAAAAAAGTTTTTGAGAGGCAACATGGCATTGTGGTCAGATAGCTGGTATTAGAAAGAGGAAGATCTAGGTTCAAGTCCACTTCTGGCATTCACTATCTGTACAACCTTGGTCAAGCCCTTTAACCTCTCAGTGACCCAGGCAACTCTTTTAAGACTATAAACTACACTGCAGTTGCTAGTCTGTTTTGGTCAAGAGATTTCCAAAACCAAGATGATGCTTACACTGATGAAATCCCTGGTCCAGACTGTAAAAAAAGAAGAAGGGCTTTTCAGATTGAACACTACAGATTGAATCCTTTGTGAAACTTCACCCTTGTTCCCTGGCTCTATTTGTATCTTGTGATTTATTGAATTACATAGACAGATCAAAGTAATATACCATTTTTTAATAAGCAGAATATTTACAAAACTTTGCAATGCACTTGATCTCTTAAGTAAAATATTTTTAATCAAAACATTTTACAAATAAAAATATGAGTTAAGGTATGATATAAAAATATACAAATTAGATGTGGAGCCTATATCAAATTGCATGCCATCTTTGGGTGGAGGGGGAGGGATGGGGAGAAAATTTGGAACTTAAAATCTTACGGAAGTGAATATTGAAAACTAAAAATAAATTTTAAAAAAGAAAAAATACACAAATTAGAACTTAGTCTTTAAACTAGTTTTATTCATAATATGAGTTAAAATATGATATAAAAATATACAAATTAAAACTTAGTCCTAAACTAATTTTACTCAGGCTCTTTTCATCATGAATAGATAGAATCATTTTTAATCTCTAGTTATTCTGATAGAACTTACTCTGAATCAAACCACAAACAATGATCCCTTAGTTTGTATTGATCATGTTTGTACTGTATTCTTTATGGTGACTTGTGGTGTCTTTGATTGTTTCTGCTACTCTCAGGATTTGGGGTTAGGATTGAGCTAATCTTTATTATTTATTTGTTTGTTTGTTTATCGGGATGCGTGGATTTTTTTTATTAATTATTTTATTTTTAGTTTTCAACACTCCCTTCCACAAGATCTTGAGTTCCAAATTTTCTCCCCATCTCTTCCTTCCCTCCACCCCAAGATGGTATGCATTCTGAATACCCCTTCCCCTGATCAGCCCTCCCTTCTCTTATCCCTTCCCTTTTCTGTTTTCCTGTAGGACAGGATAGATTTCTGTGCCCCATTGCCTGTATATCTTATTTCCCAGTTGCATGTAAAAACAATTTTTAACATTTGTTTTTAAAACTTTGGGTTCCAAATTCTCTCCCTTCCTCCATGCCTACCCACCCTCATTGAGAAGGCAAGCAGCTCTATGCAGGTTATACTTGTGTAGTCATGCAAAAACACTTCCACAATAGCCACGTTGTGAAAAACTAACTATATTTCCCTTCATCCTGTCTCACCCCCCCCATTTATTCTTTTCTCTCCTTTGACCCTGTCCCTCCTCAAAAGTGTTTGCTTCTGATTACCCCCTCACCCAATCTGCCCTCCCCATATATCATCCCCTCCTCTCTTATCCCCTTCCCCCCTATTTTCCTGTAGGGTAAGATAGTGTGTATGTTATTCCCTCTTTAAGCCAAATCCAATGAGAGTAAGATTCATTCATTCCTTCTCACCTCCTCCCCTTTCCCCTCCATGGTAAAACCTTTTTCTTCCCTCTTTTATGTGAGATAGTGAGGATTGAACTAATTATTCATCAAAGTTGCTGTTTTATTGTTAAGGATGGATATAGCTGGATAAAGGAATTAATTGCAACTTTATATTATCTCTCATTGTACTCCTAGGTTCGAGGACGGCCACAGGAAGCTCAGAGCAGCATTATCCTGGAGTCCCATATCATTTGCTGTACACTGAGCACAAGTGGTGGTTTGCTGTTGGAGTCTGCTTTTCGTAGGCAAGGAGGTGTTCCCTTCAGTTGTGTCATTGTTGATGAGGTTAGTGAAACCAGTCAAGGTTATACAGCTATAATTGCCTTACTGTCATGATTAATTTAAAAAAAGAGAGAGAGACTTGCTGAAGTATGGCTAAAACATGTTTTTTTATCAGTAATATTTTCCTACTTTTTATATACATGCTCTTTTTGTGTAGGAAGATGAAAATAGTGACTGTCAGGTACCCTCCATTGAATCACTCTCCCATAGTTGGAATGAATTTGTGCAGACCTACCCACAATTTTTTGTCTGTCCCCTGTTGTGATCAACAACATGCATTTGCATTCTGGTTGGCTAGAGTTGGTGTAGTCTGTAGTCTTGGAACAAATCAAAGCTAACTGCTTCATGAGGGGATTGTTGCTTTAGTGTCCTGAGCTAACCAGACAAAGAGATTTCTTTCTCCTCTGCTCCATGCCTGTTTTTATATTTTCCCACACTCTGTGTCTGCTTAATAGTTCCCAGGGTAAGGATGGATGTGAAGGCTTTTAAATCCTGTCCAAATAAGCTTCAAGTCTCTAACTCGTAGATGAGCTGTCTTGCTTGTCTCTTTGAATATAATGGCTCTTATAGATCTCTGGTATCTTCAACATAGTAGGCACTTAAATATTTGTTGATTTGAATTGAATTATAGTAGTAGTACTTAGATTAGAGAATCATTTCAGCCCAGAAAATAATTTGTTTCGCTAGATATTTGGGGCAGAAGTGTTAAACTTCTTTTTAGTTACAATGCTTAGAAATTTATAAACTGCATGTAAGTAAACTCACAGAAATATGGATTAGAAAACATTCTTCCCTCTTGGTCGTTATCAAGGCTGGGCAGTCTTGTGAGATTGAGACACTTACTCCATTTATCCATCGCTGCAACAAACTTGTTCTGGTTGGAGATCCTAAACAGCTTCCTCCCACGGTCATTTCTCTGGTAAGTATTTCTATAGCCATTTATTTGTTAACTTAAAACAAAAGGTTTTTAAGATGGCTTTGTTTGCAATAAATCAAGTAGTTACAACTGGACTGATGATTTTTCAAAACACTAATTTTTGGGGGTCAGGAGAGATATGGAAGTGATTGGCTTCTCATAGAGAAAAGCAGTATTTGAAAAGATTGATTTGATTAATACATCTTAATTACCTTTAAAAGTTGATCTTAATGTGTCTTTTGTTCTAACATTTTTAAATATGAGTTTTAATAACTCCCAGCTTTATATGCTTATTAGTATCAGGCAAATGAATGGTTGGAAATAGCCTTTTTTCCTACATCTCAAATTTCTTTTCTTTTGAAAATTGATGTTGGTTTTTTAAAAAAAACAATTTATCTCTGATTTGTTTGGATTTTAAAGAAATATGCCAAGGATTTTTTTTAAAAAAGGTTATATTGAATTGTTTTGAGAGTATTTGTCTAACTTAGACATCAGTGTTTGGCAGCATGCCAAGATGGCAATTTACCAGCCTTGTAAGAAATTTTCCTCTCTTTCCTTCCTCCTCCTAATAGTAAAGGTGGTAGATTTAAAAAAAAAAAGTGAAGATTGGCATCATTCACTTTGATTATGCACAGTTAGAGGTTAATTTGCTCTACCTGCCTCTCCTTCAAGAGCAGAATGAAGTTCAAATCCTGATTTTGTATTCTGGAGTCAAAAATCATTTGATTCCCCAAATGAGCTAAGAAGTCAATTTCTCTAAGGTTGATTGTAACTACAAGCAGTGGTAATTATAAGATTAGTTATTAGTATAGAGAATTTATTTAGTCATTAGTATAAATTTGTACTTCCAAATGGAAGTTGTAGTTCCCATAATCCCAAATGAGAAAAGTAGTCATTCCTGTTTTTGTCTATAGATATCATTATGCTTTTATGGTTTTGGTTGTAGATTTTCTCTTCGTATTCATGTGTGTCTCAGATTGAGAGTAAAATATATTTATTGGCATTTCAACAGTACATACCAGTTTTATAGAGAAGCAGCCCAGAAGTTTGTTCATTGACTAGGGGATGCCTGTTTTGTATTTTAAAATTTGCTCCAGGTATTCTTTTGATGAATAATTGAAAGTTTACAGTATTACAATTTCTGAGATTTTTAAATCTTTTTTAAGATTACATTTTCTGCTTAGTTTTGGCTCGCCATAGATTTGGGAGAGTTTGTGATCTTTTAGAACCTAGAATCGTGCTATTCATTCCATGTTTGATAGTTATCTAAAACTTAACATGTTCAAAACGTATTTCAGATTCCCAATAAATATTTTTTTATGTTAGTGAAGAAATATAAACTAATTCTAATGAATTACTTCTTTTCTCCCTGGCAGAAAGCACAGGAGCATGGTTATGACCAGTCAATGATGGCTCGATTATACAAACACCTGGAAGAACAGGTGAAACAGAATGTGATCAGTAGATCACCTGTTTTGCAGCTGACAGTTCAATACAGGATGCATCCTGATATATGCCTCTTCCCATCTAGTTATATTTATAACAGAACTTTGAAAACAAACAGGTCAGTTCAGTTTGTTAGTGGTTGATGTGTTTTACTTGTAAGTTTAGATGCTTTGAAAGGTTAGTACATTTCAAGCATTGTATTCACATTTCTTTACTATTTCAGGCCATTATGAAATTCATAAATTGTAACAGTTATCTAGATTGCTATTCTGAGCACCATGGTGGTATATAAGGAGGGCAGTGTTTAACCTCTATATATCCCACATTTATAGGAGAAAATCAGTCCCCTAAAATCTGTTTTTGTAAATGCTAACAGAATGATATTTTGATAACCATTGATAATGCTCATAGATTGACTGAAGAGAGCCGATGTACATCCGACTGGCCGTTCCAGCCTTACCTTGTGTTTGATGTAGGAGATGGTTCAGAGAGACGGGAAAATGAGTAAGTCCTTTTCTTATTCCTCTGGTTCAGGATATGGCTTGGAATGTTTTTTATCATATTAAAAATGCCTCCCACAAACGTCGTGTATCATGCTGAGTTACATTGGCCTTTCAACTATCCCAGTTGATGGCTTCTCCATTTTAACCAAAGTCTCATTGTGTAACTTCTGCCTCAACTGTTCCCCTTAACTTTAACTATCCTTTTAATTAGAATTATTTGCTTAGTTCATGTTTAGAGCCTGTAAATAGAAGATTTTCCTGAGACCCAATAATAGCAGGCGTGTTGCAACAACTAAAGTACAGAAAGAAGAGATAGAAAATTCTTTTGCTCTGCCAGAATCTCCTTACATATTCTTTCCTTAGGTGTTTCTTCACCTTTCAGAGGACCCTATCTGTGATGCTTTGTAGGTAAACCTAGGTGCACAACCTCAATAGACATTCTTGCTAATGAAGCTTGAGGACTTTATACCTGTTCCCTACAGAATGTATCCTAAATTTGTTCCTTGAGAATAGATACTATTTGCTTTTCATCTTTGTATTCCCAGTGATTAGCGTAGCAACAGACACAAAGTAGGTACTTAATAAGTTCTGATTGATTTCCCAGTGACAAGGTGTCCTGTCTCTGCCAAGGTACCTTTTGGGAGGGACTCATCTATCCAAAAGTAGACTTAGGACATTTTCCTGTTCTGGGAATACCTCCATGTTATATTAGGATCAGGTATAGACACATCAAAACTACTGTGTTCCCTTCCCAGGGACCTTCCCTAGAATAACTATCCTTAAGTTCACCTGATTTTCCTTTAATTTAACCAATTAGCCTTTGTCTCATTACAATGCCTTCTTCGCTACTATTAGAATTTTAAAGGTTCCAAGATGAAACTGACTCTTTTAATAAGTCTTGATTGTGATGCTAACATATTATACTTATTCCTTTGTAAAAAGCAAATCTTACTGTTAAGTGGTTGAATATAACTGGGGTGTAGGTGCCTCCTAAAATTGAGAGAACATAGTCATTGAGGAATGAAGCCAATGACAAAGACTAGACGCCCTCAAACCTTAAAGGTTTTGGAGAATCCTAGGAAAGAATTTAAATGTAATATACCTGTCCCTCAGGTAGTGGAGGCCAAAGAATCACTCTTAAAAACGCGTAAGAAAGAGTTGATGCCATTTTACCAAATGGGAAAGTATACAGAGGATAGAGAGCATAGGACAGAGCCTAATGGTTGGTTTGCAGTTAGGGGTTATGATATGTATAATGAACCAAGATAAGAAACTAATCAGGAGTAGTCAAACAGGTAAAAAGAGAACCAAGAGAGTACTGTCATGACAACCCAGAGAGGAAAGTATTCAGGAGTTGAGAGTGGGGCGGTTTTCAGTGGTGTCAGATGCTACAGAGAAGACCAGAGGATTGAGAAAAGACCATCAGATTTGACTTGTTGAGAGAATATTGGTAACTGAAGGGGGCACTTTGGAATCTAGAGTAAGGAGATTAAGCTAAGAGACTAGAAAGATATTGGTGCCCTGTGGGGAAAAAAGGGAAGTTCAGAAGAGGTGTGGGTCTTTGGTGAAAGATAATGTAATCGAAAGCCACTTCTTCTTATTCATCCTGTGCTACTGACACATTCTCAATGAATAGTGAAGAGGGTCAGAGAAGGGGAAAGGGAGTGAATGGGCTTACTTACCTGCCGTTGCCCCAGAGTATAAAGCCTACAACAGTGGACCAACTATTTAATCTTGGTTCTTCAGACTTCACTCCCATGCCTCTGCTATGTTATTCCTCCCTCCCTGCAAGTCTCTTCTCCCATTGGTGAGTTCTTTGAGCCTCCATTTTGAAGAAGGATCCAAACCAGCCATGCTTTACTCTGTGTCTTTTGCACCAGGCTTTAGCAGCTTTTTCTCTCTGGCCCCACAACCCTTTCTCTCATTGATGGGTTCTTCCCAGAGCCTCCATTTGGGAGAAGAGTCCTGACTAGCCATCCCTCATTCTCTGAACTTCCCTACCACATCCCCAAAGGTACCTCCTCTTCCCCTGGCATGTGGAGGCCTTTCCGCCTAAGACTGTAACCTTCTTGAGGACCAGGACTATTTTGTTGTTGTTGTTGTTGATTTTGATTGTAGTTGTATCCCTGATGTTTACTTCAGTGTTTGGCATGTAGTAAGCACTTAATATATACTTGTTGACTGACTAGGAGGGAGCATCGTTATCATATCAGGCATTTATATATTTGGTTTTTATATTTTATATAATTTATATATTTTTATATATAACTTATATATTTTAAGATTTGCAAAGTGCTTTACAAATTTCATTTCATTTGACCCTTAAAACAACCATGGGAGGTAGGTGCTATTACTACCCTCATTTTACAGAGAAGGAAAAGGAGACAGGTAGAAGTTAAGCGAGTAGCAGCTAGTTAATGTCTGAGACTGGATGTGAACTCCAGACTTTCTGACTCCATGTCCAGTGCTATCCACTACACCATTTAGCTGCCATATAGTTTCCTTCACTAAAATCTGTTAGTCCTATAAGATTCTTCCCCCATATCACAATATATTTCCTCAGTTAGGTCTCTAGGACTTAGGACGTGATTGTTCATCACTCTGGTGGACAAGGATATGGGTGTAGTATCCCACTTGAGCTAGTATAAGGGTTGCTTGGTATTGTCTTGGTATTCAACTAATAAAGATCATATACTTCAGAGGAATAGAAAACGTGGTCTTTACTAACACCAAGATTGAGATGCCTTTATCATAAGGCTAGTTATCTGTATATGTACTTATACTTTCTCTCTGAGGAATGCTATTCAACAGATTCATTCAGATCATAGTTAGCATACAATGGGTCCATTTTGTCACTGGTTTGCATCTTTATTTTGACCTCAGCTTTACCATTGAGTGAGGATAAAACAAAAACTTGCCAGTTCCTTGATAGATAATGAATAATAGAGAAATAAAATAGAAATATGTAATGATATATACACATTTCTACTTTCTCATAATGTTGTTTAATTACTTCTGCTTTTTCTTCTTTATGCCTGTACATTCATCACTATGTCTACTATATTTCCAGTTCCAACGCTATACCCGAGGTTTTTTTTAATGTTCTTAAGGAAAGCAGGTGAAGGGTTTTTTAAAAATATTTTTTCCCTAAATCCATAAACAATCTCAAGTCAGACAAGTCACGATTGACTTAACTGATTGTTAGGTGGGCATGATTAAAAGAGCAGTTGTGACTCAAGTTCAATTCCGCAAACCTTTTTTTAAGTACTTTTTGCAATGCATCATGTTAAACAGTGGGATGGAAATTCAAAAACAAAATGAGTCCCCACCTTGAAGGTGCTACCTTGTCCTTTCCTGGCTTTCCTTTTAACTCCTGCCATTGTAGAATATTGGTAGATCTGGTATTACAGAGCCAGAGTCTTAATATAGGCAGAACCTCTCCTCCTAGTGCCCTTCCTGAGTAAACAGTTTTATTTTGACCAGGACATGTTGTATATTTTTTTTTTGAGTCATGTTCTCTCACTTGTACCAAAATAGTTACATGACTTCTGTTCAGTAGACCTTTTTTGAGGACCCAGTTTTCATTAGAACAAAGTTTCTTTTTCTAACCATGTGTAAAGCATCAGGCTCTAAGTGAGTTCTGAGTTGCGTAAGAAATGAAGAATTTTTAAATGATATTTTACTCAATTCTCATAATTTTTTGAAAACCAAAATAATGAAATGAAATTTTGTCCATCTTTTTTTCTGTATTATAGGCAGATTTTGTTACTCAAAGAAGTTCGATTACTCTTCTTTAATTGGCTACTGACTGTTGCGTTGTTAGATAATTCTGATTCTGTTTAGTATTTAATTTACCCATTACAGATAGATTTTCATTGTCTGTCATTATATTCTGTAATAGTGTTGTCTTACTCATTTAGAAGTTGTTGAGACTTTAATGTCTATATTCAAAGCTTTTGATATAATTATATGGCCCACCTATAAATTAATTTAGCATTTATGGATCTTGCTTCATACTTGAATCGTGTAACATGTCCTACCCTGGACAGATGTTGACAGCAGGAAACGTTCAAAGGGGAAGGACCCTTCCTTTTATTTTGCATAATGTTAGATAACTCATAGTAAATCAGACTACTAGTACTAATGCTCAGCAATTGTAACTTTTATCAGGTAAGCATTTCAAAACTTATTGAGATTCTGGGCAACAGAATATGGAACTATATTAGTTATATAAACTGTATTTAATTGGCAGCTAATGGTTATCAGTGGTTTTTTTTTGGTTATTTTTCTCATATAGCTCCTATGTTAATGTCCAAGAAATAAAACTAGTAATGGAATTAATTAAGCTGATCAAAGACAAAAGAAAGGATATTACTATACGTAACATCGGTATAATCACACATTACAAAGCACAAAAGATGATGATTCAACAGGAATTGGACAAAGAATTTGAAAGAAACAGGTAAAGGGGGCTTAAGCAGCAAATTTACACTACTGTTTTTGAGAAAAATGGCAAAAGAGAAGACTAAATGGGGGGGCAAGGCAGAAAAAATATGGTATGGAAAAAGAAGGGTAGGATAGCAGGGGAGTTAAGCAGAGGGTTGGGTTGGTTGGGTTTTTTTGTTTTTTTCACGTTTTAGGATTTTAGAGAACTGTGTGCAGGCACAGGGAAGTATAGAGGATAATAGATAGAATGGGGAAGTGATAGAGTCGGGACCATAGGTAGCAGGATTAACTTTGGTCAGGGAGACAAGGAACACTTTAGAGGCAAGAATGAGGGAAAGAGAGTTGATAAAATTCCGAAAAGTTTGAGGTAAAGAGGAGAGAACTTGAAGGAGGAATTCATGTGATGTGGCCTCCCTCATTTTGAAAATAATTCATAGGTGAAGTCATCTGCTAAAACTTAGCGGGGCTGGATTGGGCTTAAGGACTTGAGGATAGTGTAAAAAGTTTTGGAATAGTAGTTGTGGAGAATGCAGTGGTTATCTAGGAAAAAATGAGGAATCCTGCCCCACTCTCCCCATCTCACCCCTACCCCTGAAGCCCTGACTTGTTATTTAGGGACTTGGTGAATTCTCTTTACACATAGCAAAATTGAGTAACAGCTACATATGAATTAAATTTAATGGCTAATTAATTCAACATTAGTCTTTGTTAGCAAACTTAAAATATAATGCCCAAAGTGTCCTTAATTCTGTTTAGGGAAGTGAGACTCTTCCCCACCTTTGTCCTTTTTGACTTCTATATTTACAGCTTTGAGCTTTAGCTTCTTTGTGTATAAAAACAAGATTATGTTTTATTACCATTCTCTATCTCAACAGGGATGTTAAGGATTAAATATTAAGAATATGTAGCTCACTTTCAGCTACTCAAAGATACTGACTGTTTATATAAACATAATGCTTATCTAATTATAAAATACTTAAATTTACAAGGCATTTTTAGTACTTTACAATTTCTAAAATATATTCACATGTGTTGGAAGGCAATATACAATAGTGGTTAGAGAGCTGGTTTTAGAGTCAGAAAAGCCTGAATTCATATCTTACCCTTTCTATATATGACCATGGACAAGTCACTTCTCAGTGCCCCCAGGCAATGTTCTAAAAGACTATATGTTAGAGATGAGTTGCCCTATCTCTGTCTGTAGAGAGAGTTTCCATACTGGGAATTCTTTATACCAGGGCTTTTTCTGTAAAGGGCCAAATAGTAAATATTTTAGGTTTTGTAGTCCAGGAGGAAAAACTGGAGATACTATGTAGATACTGTACTGATGTAATAAGATAGAAAACAAATTTCCACCAATTTTTGTTGGCAAAATTCAAAATAATAATAATAATAACAACAATACATTATAATATTTTTGGAATACAAGTCTAGTAAGGAGAAGAATGGAATTATTGGGGGAGGAATAACATTTCACCTAATTGAGGTTCAAAGTTAATGTTCCCTATCATCAAAATTTTTTGTAAAATGTTCTTCTACTAATGCTGATCTGTAATGATATTTTATGTATTTAATCTTTGAAAATGTCTTTTGACGCAGATAGGTACTACCAAATACTGATATCAATCCATGAGCACATGATTTTAATTGAGCTGAAAGACTCATGGTCTTAAGCAAATCGTTTTCACTGGACACATTTTTTTGGCTACTGCAGTCAAATGTGATTTAACTAACTCACCATTAGTGAATGGCGTTCTTTACTTCCTTAATAAGTAATCAACTTGGCACATACTTTGGTTGCAGGTTCATTTTCCTTTTTAATTTTTGTCAAGAAGTTTTGCTGATGAGGTATTTTTAAATTTTCTAATCTTTCTGACTGTTCTGAGTTGGGAATATTGTGATGAGTACTTAATCTGGTAATATTGATTTATTTTGTATTCTTTTAGCAAAGCTATGGTGTCATTGTGTAATAAAAACAATGCTTTGCTGTTTGATTCTATAACAAAATAATTTATGCCCCACTGTTCCTTAAAAGCACAATATTCCAAGTCCACTTTTCTCTTCTTGTTTTGATATGATGAGTATATACTGGAAATTAAAAAAAAAGTCACAGCAATATGTGGGGTACTCTGCTCTAGAGTTATAACTGCATCACTATGATATGTAGTGCACTGAGCAGCAATTTGAAACCCTGAGAGCTCCATATATGTGTTCTACTCAACTTTGCCATTGTAATGCAAAAGCAACTGATATGTAAACCAGTGAGCAGGCCTCAATTTGCCAACCCCTATAGAAGGAAGTCAGAGGTAGAGACAAAAATACAAGATGTATGTATTATTTCATTTGAGCTTCACTGCAGGCCCGAAGGTAGGTAGAGCAGGTGGTATTGTTCCTATCTCACAGATAAGGGAAATGAATCAGAGAGGTTAAGTGATTTCATGCATACTTACAGAGCTAGGACTAGAACCCCAGACTCCTAACTTATTGGTTAAGTGCCTTTCCCTTGTATACATACTTCTCCATATTGAGATTTTTTTTTTCTTCTTAAATAGACCAGGGGAAGTTGACACTGTGGATGCATTCCAGGGTCGTCAGAAGGATTGTGTTATTGTTACATGTGTCAGAGCAAATACTTCACAAGGCTCAATTGGGTATGTCTCTCTTTTCTCTGTTTATGTGTTTCGAAGGTCAGTCTTTTTTCTGGGCATTAGACTTAACTTATTAAAAGGTTTATCTGTCGTATTTAAAAAAACTTTTCAATGCTAAATGTAATATTGTTTGCTTTTACCACTCTGAAGCTTGTTATGAAAAATGAAAGTTTCCTATATAGTATCTGTATTTTGTTTCTTTTAAGAAGTGGAATAGATCCACTGATACTTCTTTCAGCACCTATATATTGACTTCATTTTGCAATATGGATCTGTTCTTTGCTTCATTAAGTAAATTTAAGATAAACCAAAGCAGATTAAGTATATTTGCAATAGGAATTGCTATTTTTGAGGTATATGATTGTTTATTAGCATGCAGGTTTTTTTCTCTTCGTTTCTAGTTGCCACTTCTAGTCATGTGTAATGTCCAACTGTTTACTGTTAATCTAGCTATTAAAGAGTCTAAGGGCATGGCAATGCTTTCTGACATGAGTAGGTGGTATTACTCAGTCATCATGAAGGTACTTTGATCTGGGGTGGTGATAGGAATCATGGATTTCCATTGCCTCCTATTTTATCTTTTTTAGGATTAATAAAAGATAGTAGAATAGTGCTTTCCAGAACACGTATGTGCTATCTCAGCAGCTCCCAAGTTATCGTTAAAAGGAGAAAAGATTTTAAATATATTGAATTTAAAAGGCACATGTATGAATTATGTCTCATATGTAGTGTCTAAGGCTCAGAATCTTCTCTGGTGAAATGTATAGTCTCTGCTCTCCTGATTGACTTAGACTTAATGTTGAAAGGTGATAGGTGAGTCACATTCAGAGTTGGCTGAGTTGGAAAGCAGCAGTGAAAAACAGGAAATCGCTTTTCTGTAGATATACCTGATGTGACAGAGCAAGTAAAAAAGCGATTTGATCTTTATAGCGAAGGAGCATCAAAAAATGCTAACATATAGCTTGTGTCTTTGTTTAAACTAATAAAAGTTTGCTTCTTTAGAAAGAACATTTAATTTTGTGTCATTTATTAGGTTTCTGGCAAGTTTGCAAAGATTGAATGTAACCATTACTCGAGCCAAATATAGTCTGTTTATCCTTGGACATTTGAGGACATTAATGGTAGGTACATTGCTTTTCTTTTTTTCTTTCTTCGCATCTCTGCTAGAATTTTTCTGTAGCTTATCTTGGGGTCTGCTCAGTAGTAGGTCTGCAGATTTTTTTTCCTGTTAATTTTAATAAGCTATTATTTCATTTGTTCCTGAAACAAGAAGTGAAATATCCCATATTTTGGGTGTATAAACAAAGGGTGCTTCTCTCCTTTGGAATTCCTTCCAGCTCCCCACAGAACTACCCATTTCTTCTCTCTGCCACCTGTCCCAGCATACATATTTTATTTTCGCTATTGATTTTTCCAGCTCAGTCCAAGATACTGAAAAGGTAAGAGTGGGGGGAGAAAGGAGGAAGGTTAAGTGTGTCTTTGTTTTTCTCTTCCCTTCTTCATTATTTTATTACTTTATTTATTACATTATTATTTTGGAAGTCAGCCCTACTGGCTGTCCATTGGTGATGTTTTTTCTTAGTTTGAGGTGGCACTGGACAAATGATAACCCTTCTTTTGGCAGTTTTCTCTTTTCTAAATAATATGATGGCAGGGAGCTGCCTTCTGATAACTAAATCCTCATTTTCTTAAATAAGTAGTCTGATTGAATTTGCAGAAAAAATAGTAAAATCTCGGGCTCTAGGATTTCTTTTATTTCCACTAGAGGGCATCCAAGTACTGTATTCATTCTTTAACTCAAAAATTGACAGTATTTACAACTCAAAGAGACTTTAGATATCAACTAGTTCAGCACCCTCATCTTACAGAGGAGGAAACGGGCCTAGAGGGGGGAAGGGACTTGCCTGTGGTCACAGTGGGTAATGGAGTGAGGAAGATTTGAATTCAGGTCTTTTTATTACAAATGCTCTTGCCGTTATGCTGCTTAACTAGATTATGACTTTAAAATTATCTTAACTTTTGGAAGTTAATGCTAAGAATAGTGGGGAACAAAGCACGTAGCATACTTCCTAAATTGTAATCTTGGAACTTGGTTTCAGTCTTTTTTACGTTCAGATATCCCATATCCCCATCAAGAAAATGATTGAAGTAGAAACTACGTGGGGGAACTAAGGTCAATAGTTTGTTCCCAGAATTGTTCTGAGATTGTAGGATTGCATTACTTAACAAAACTTAGGTAAAAAACGAAAAAGTAAGAGCTACATTTCTGTGTGGATCACATACAGTTTATGACCTTCCTATGGGATAAAAATCTGTGACAACCTTTTCCCATGCTCCATAATGGGTAATACAGAAAAACTCACTCTATAAGCAAAGGTTAATAAGCCTCATATGGGGTGTATATACTCCACTTCATTGCTATATGTGACATTTGGACAATACTACTCCGTTCTCTCTTTTAAGAATTCTCCTTTTTCGGGGGCAGCTAGGTGGCGCAGTGGGTAGAGCACCAGCCGTGAAGTCAGGAGGACCTGAGTTCAAATCCAGCCTCAGACCAAACACTTAACACTTTCTAGCTGTGTGACCCTGGACAAGTCACTTAACCCCAATTGCCTAAAAACTTAAAAAGAAGTAACTTTTCTCTACCTCCTTTTCCCATTCCTCTTGTCTCCCTAACATTTCTTAATGACCTAACTTTTAGACTTTGTAGCCTTGCCAAGAAGTAAGACGACTTGGAAAATAAATCCCTTTTCCTGTATTTGGAAATGTAAGTCATATTCATCACCTCTATACCAAGAGGTGGGAGGCATGCTTTTTATCATTGATCTTTTAAAGTCACTTCACCCTACAAGAGTTTTTAAACTTTTTTTTTTTTTGCTTTTTGGTGAGGCAGTTGGAGTTAAGTGACTTGCCCAGGGCCACACAGCTAGTGAGTGTCTGAAGCCAGACTTGAACTCAGGTCTTTAGGCTTAGCATTGTACCCTTGGGTAAAACAAATTCCCACATTGGCCATGTCTAAAAATATATTTCTCATTCTGCGTCTTGAATCCATCACCTCTTAGGGGGTGGGCAATATAAATGATCCTCTAGATTTGTGGTTGGTCATTACATTAATTATAGTTCTTAAGTCTTTCAGAGTTGCTTGTCTTTTCAGTGTCATTGTCGTTTAAATTGTTCTCCTGGTTCTGCTCACTCCACTGTGCATTAGTTCATACAAGTTTGTCCAGGTTTCTCTGAAACCATTCCTTTCATCATTTCTTACTGAACCAATAGTATTCCCTTGTATTAGCATGTCATAATTTGTTCACACATTCCCCAGTTAATGGATATGCTTTTTTGTTCTTTGCCACTACAAAAATAACTATTCTAAATACTTTTGTGCTATAGATCCTTTTCCTTTTTCTTTGATCTCTTTGAGGTTTAGATAGAGTATTAGTATCACTGGGTTATAGGGTATGCCCAGTTTGATAACTATTTGGCAGTTCCAAGTTGCTTTCCAGTGTGGACTAAACCATTTCGCAGCTTAACCAACAATTCATCAGATGTGTCTGTTTTCCTTTCAACTCTTCATCAGCTTTGCCAGTCTGAGAGTTGTAAGGTGGACCCTCAACTGCTTAATTCACATTTCTTAAGTTATTAGTTATTAGAATTATTAGTGAATGAATGATTTAGAGCATTTTTTTCATGTGATTGTTAATTGCTTGAATTTCTTACTTTGAACACTGTCAGTTCCTTTGGCCATTTTTTATAAATTAGAGAATAGCTCTTAGAAGAAATTTGAATCAGTTCATTATATATTTTGGAAATGAGACCTTTATCAGAAAAAACTTGTTGCAAAGATGTTGTGCAAAAACTAATATGTGTATTTTATCTTTTGTCTTCTCTCTATATATACCTCACTTAGCCATGAACTATTCCCCTATCAGTAGATCTGAAAGGTATTTTTTCCTTGCTCCTCTGTTTTATTTATGATGTGATATTTTATGTCTTGTCATGTATCCATTTGGAGCTTATCTTGGTGTATATATAGTGTGACATACTGATCTAAAACTAATTTCTACCAGACTGCTTTCCAATTTTCCTAGTTTTTGTCCAGTAAGGCTTTACTTTTATACATAGGATCTTTGGGTGTCTCAAACACTTGGCTGCTTTGTTCTTTTGCTTCTTTATGTTCCGTACTTAATCTGTTCCAATGATTTCTCTCTCTTTTTTTTTAACTATTGATCTCTATTTTTTTAACTGGTGCCAAATTATTTTTCTTTTATTTAAATTATTTAAACTTTTCCCCTTCAGATGAATTTTGTTATTATTTTTCCCATATCTGTAAAGTAATCCTTTGGTGATTTGGTATGGCATTGAATGAATACATTAATTTCGATAGCATTGTCATTGTTTATTGTATTGACTTGGCTTCTATTTTATTTCCAGTTCTTTGCTAAAGCAAAAGTGCTGCTATAAATATATTTGTACATATGACCTCTGTCTTTGACTTCTTTGGGATATGAGCCTAGTTGTGGTATTGATGGGTCAAAAAATAGGCAGTTTACTGACTTTTGGGGCAGAGTTCCAAATTAACTTTCCAGAATGGTTCACCCAATTCACAGCACTACTGTCAATGTACTAGTGTGCAGGTATTCCCACATCCAACCATTGTCATTTTCCTCTTTTGTTATTTTTACCATGATTGCCATGAAGTAGAAACCTCAGAGTTGTTTTAATTTGCATTTCTCTTACTACCAGTGATTTGAAGCATTTTTTCATATGGTTTATTGGTAGCTTATCTTTTCTCTTTTGAAAATTGGTTATTCATATCCTGACCATTTGTCTACTGGAGAATGGCTCTTTTCTATTATATATCTATACCAATTTCCTATATATTGTGGAGACCTTTATCAGAAAACTTTGCTGCAAAGATTTTTTCCCAGTTAACTGCTTACTTTTTAATTCTGCCTGTATTGATTTTGCTAGCACACTTTTCAGTTTTATGTCAGTCAATATTTATTGAGTGCTCACTATATGCCAGGCACTGTGCTAAGCACCAAGGACACAAAGGTAAAAGACAATCCCTGCTCTCAAGGAGCTCATAACTATGTACAAACAAGCCATATAAAGGATAAATCTGAAATAATTAACAGAGGGAAGGCACTAGAATTAAGGGGTATTAAGAGAGGCTTCCTGTAGAAGGTGTGGTTTTACCTAGGACTTGAAGGAAGCCAGGGAAGCCAGGAGGGAGAGCATTCCAGACAGCCAGTGAAAATGCCCCAAGTCAGGAGGTGTAATTTTTTGTTCAAGGAAGCCAGTATAGCTGGATCAGAGTGTGTATGGTGGGAGGAGGAGTGGGTAGAGAAGGGAAGAGGTGGTAAGAAGGGGACCAGGTTATAGAGAGTTTTGAATGCCAAACAGAGAATTCTGTATTTGATCCTAAAGATGATAAGAAACCACTAGAGTTTGTTGAGTAGGGGAATGACTTATCAGAACTTCACTTTAGGAAGATCACTTTGATAAAGTTGTCCATTTTATCTTTTATCCATTGTTTTATGTTTAAGGATTCTCCTCTACATAATTATGAAAGGTATCTCCTTCCTGTCTCCTCGAATTTGTTTATAAGACATTTCATATTTAGGTCCTGTATTCATTTAGAGGTTATTATGGTATATGGTATGAGAAGTTGGTCTAAATTTAATTTCTGCCCAATAGTTTTCCAGTTTTCCCAGTAGTTTTTGTCAATAGGTAGTCCTTACTCCTCCCAGTATTTGGTGTCCGTAGGTCTATTAAAGACAATGCTACTGTGTTTGATTGCTTCTGGGTCTTGTTATCTAATCTGTTCTATTGATCAGATTATCTGTTTTTTTAACCAGTACTAAATAATTTTGATGTTTACTGCTTTGTAAACAGTTTGAGATCAGATTATAGCTGGCCCACTATGACTTCTAGATTCTTTGCTATCCTCTGACTTTATAGCATGCATCTAAGGATCAAGTGAGACATAGCCTTATTTCTCGGTGGTATCCAAGGGTTACTAGGTGGTAATCCAAGGGTTCTCTTTCATCCTTGCCTCTATAACTGTCATAGAAATTTATTTAGATGTATTAAGAAATGGAAGCTTTAATCATACACACAGTCCATGTTTGGTGTTTTTATTTTGTAATCATTTTTCTTCTTTTATTTCAAGGAAAATGAACATTGGAATCACCTAATTCAAGATGCTCAGAAACGAGGTGCCATTATTAGGACCTGTGGCAAGAATTATAAGCATGATGCAGTGAAAATTTTGAAACTCAAATCTGTGCCACAGCGAAACCTAGCACACCCTCCCACTGTAGTGCCAGAAGTCATTAGATCCCAGAATAGTTTACCCCAGCAATAAGCCAGAAGAAGTGATGAACAAACCTAACAGTGGTATTTCTAAGACCACTTCTGTTGCTTCTCCACGGCACAGCAGCACTTCCTTGTTACCTGCTGACATTCAGCCCTTTGACTGCAGCGAAGCTACAGTTGGTACAAAAGCTGCTGAAGTACCTATTGTCCGGGACCCAAGACTAGCCAAGAGAAATGATCGTGATGCCACTGAGAAGTTCCCAAATGATGCACAACCATCCAGTATCCAGCATCCAAGAGTGACAGCACCTACATATGAACCTGGCCTTCCTTTAACTCACCAGGACCCCAATAATATCAGAGAGCACCTTTTTTCAGAAGTAACAGCTTCCAGCAGTTGCAACCTGACAGCACAACTTGAAGCTCCCTCTGCAAGTATCTCCATGCGCACAAACAAAAGAAAATCCAGTGAAGAGGAAGGATCTGGCTACAGAAGAGAAGTGTTATCTTCCGGAGAAGAACAACAAGAAAAGCATGGGTATAAGAAAGACTATCATTTAGACAGGGACTATTGCTTGGATAGGAGGAGAAAAGAAAACCAGGACAGTCATTCAAAAAGAAGAAAACTTTCATAGCTTAGGTCTTGAGTCTCAGTGACAGGCAACATTTACCAAAAAAAAATATTTATTATAAGAAATGCAGCTTTGGGTGCTCAGTTAATAAGAATAGAGATGTTAATTTATTTTTAAATTTGGGGCCATTCATTTCCCCCAGAACATGGAAGATTGTATACTCTCATTTAAACTTATTTTCTATTGGTAATCTTTACAAATGAGTATGTTTTTCTGTCTCGGATTTCAGAGGACTTTTGTGCATTAATGATAGTGTCCTTAGAGCCAGATAAATGAAATGTTGTTCTGTTGTTCTTCCTTTGTAGAAAAGGAAACCAGACTTGGACAAACATTGTAAATGTAGAGATGTACATTTGTATAGGAAACGACAAAACCTTTTTAAGATTTAATCTTGTTGATTTTTTGCCTTTTCTTTCTCCCTAGCCCAAAATGTTTGCTCACTTTTCAGCAGAGCAAACTCATCTTTAAAAGTGGGGGTCAAGGGGAGGGGCACCTCTAGTGCTGTTGTAAGCCTGATTTCTTTCACGACATAAGTTGTTTGGAAAAAGCTGAGTTGGTGATAGTGGGTCAGATGTCTCTAGTTCTATTTTAAAAGCTGACTGTCCTCATGGGGAAGCTTTGGGGAAAGCATTTGGTTTAAATGGAATTCTGCTTATCTTGTACATTTTTAAACAAGGCCCTTTGCACAAGATGTTTGGTTTCTGCAAGGGCTTATCCACCTGTTTTTATTAAACCCATAACCACCCCAAATTTTCTCTTTCTTGGCAGTATTACACAACTAACCTAGAAGCAGTGAGATAGTATAGATTGAAGGTAATGCTTTAAACAGGGAATAAATGGTGGAAGTGGATGATCTCAAAACATCGTTAAAAACCACAAGAGAAATAAAAAGAAACTGAATACTTCCCTCCTTCTAACTGGAATAGTTTATAAGGTGATTGGGGTTTGGAAGAGCTGGCAAATTTCCCACATTTTTTAGAAACTGTATAATTTTAGTGAATGTATACTGCTATTTTGGTATCTGTGATGGTGCAGAAAGTAGTAGCAAAGGTTTAAAATGGATTTCTTTTATTTAAGCAGGTTTTTAATTTTGTGCTTCCCTTAGTTTCATTTTCTTTCCTTTCTGCTATGGGAATTTATTCTAAACAAAGGCCTACTTAGAATGAGTTATCAAAGTTTTGTGAGGAAAAAACCCACATTATTTTTATCATAATTGTAAAGAGGCACCTTTGTGGAGGAAAGCCTTGGTTCAGGGAATGATTCTTTTAAGGAAGTTAAGAAAGAACTACCTGATTTAGACCACAGATTTATATATACATACATATGTATATACATATATACACACACACACACATATATATATATATATATATACACACACACACATACTTTAAGATACAATAATAAATAAATTACATTAATAACGAAGAAATGGAACAATTGTTTAAAGTGTTTCTTCACAAACATATTTTTAAAAATAGAGGGGTATTAAGAGAGTATAGAAAAGAAAGGAATTTTTCATATTACATTTGAAATTTTGCACTGCCTCCTGCACTTTAAGCAAAAAGGACAAGTTCTATATTTGGACTTCTTGAAAAAAATCCTCCTGTGTAGAATGTTTGCAGTCATCTCATGGGCCATGTTTAATTCTTAAGCCACTCTGTTGCATTTTTCCAAGTTGGCAGTGCAATTCCTCTTGACATTGTATGCATCTTTCATGTTGGTTTCCAACCTCTAAGTAAGTTGTGGAATGAAAATACCTCTAATAGTAGCAGCTTCTTGGGGCAGCTAGGTGGCGCAGTGGATAGAGCACCGGCCCTGGATTCAGGAGGACCTGAGTTCAAATCTGGCCTCAGACACATAACACTTACTAGCTGTGTGACCCTGGGCAAGTCACTTAACCCCGTTGCCTAGCAAAAACACAACAAAAAAAAACCGAATAGTAGCAGCTTCTTTGATCTTATGGTGCCTACGTACTCAGAATGTGTCTCCTTTGCCTGTGGACCAAAGGAAGAATGGCAGTGTGAGTGGGGGTAGGGGGAGAGATAAGTATACCCACTGTGTGGGTTTCGCAAGATTAGATGTCAGCTTTTATTATACATCTATGTCAGGGAATTTTATGAATTTGTAAGTCCCAACATATAATTTTTTTTTTTTGGTAAATGTGTGTTAGTGCTTTCAGTCTGGGCTTCTTGCTGCCACAGTGAGCTTGACTAAGAAGGGATGAAGAAAGGAAATAAGAAAGATTTTTAAGACTTCAAATGAAATAGTGCATCGTCTTTGTTTTGGGCTTGGTTAGTGCTCCTCAGCTCTCTTTATATTTATGTGTGGATTGTGAATGAACCTTTCCACCAAATTTAGGATTTATTGCCACATGCACAAATAGGTGTTTTCAGTTAAGTACATGGACTCATACTGATTATGTTCCTTTGTTTTCCAGTTAATAAATAGCAGTGCCTCCTTCCTGGAGACTAATGATATAAATACTACAAAAATCATAAAGATGTATGGGAGGGTTCTATGGAATTAAAGGGAGTATATCAGGAAAAGACTGATGTTAAACAAAAGGTATCCAAAAAATGAAAAATAAAGAATAACGAGGACATTTTGCCTATAGAATAAATGGCATCTATATTTTGAGCCAATTCACTTATTCAAATAGGCTTTAGGTACCATGTTGGAAAGCTACCCACATTGATTATGTTGCTACCAGTAGGAGAGCTAAAAATAATGAGCAGTTTGTGCATAATCCTTCTAATGAATGAAATTGTATACTACAGCGGATTCTTTTAGCAGAATGGCAATGTATCAGATAAGTGAATTAGAATCTTCATTTGGCTTTCTGTTCAGCAAAATTATTTTAAGCCACTTTGGTTTGGGGATTAACCTAGCCATTCTGGACATGGCAAGCAATGAATTATTTTGTTGAATAGTAGTTGATGAGTTTATGTGAAGGTGGAGAAATAAAACTTTTCTTTCTCCTTTCCTTGACATTTAACCAAAATGCCCAGCCTCTTGCAAGTATAATTTTTGTATTTTTCACATGCTTTATATTTTTCTTTACTTTTGATTTATCAAGCACAAACACACAGTATGTCAGAGCTGGAAGGGAGTTTAGGGGTCATATGGTTCAACCCTCTCATTCTACAGAGAATAAAATTGAAGTTGAGAAAGGTTAAATTGCCCAAGGTCACGAAACAGAGCCAGCACTTGAATCCATGTCTCTCGGCTCCAAATCTATTGCTTTTTCTATTCTACCTCATTACCATCCTTTTTCTAGATAAGAACAAAGCAGCTCAGAGATAGTCTGGGGAAGTTAATTTCTTTACACATGCTATTAGAAATTTACTCCATCAACTCTTTTTTCCCCTCTTTAGCAGGAGCGGAGGGGGTGGAAATGGCACTATGAGAACCTATGAGCAGTTCTAGTTACCTGCAACTTCATTATGTTTTCTGGCTTCATTTATAGCGAGCATGTCAATATTGATGTAGTTCAATCCCTTCAGTGGTTTTACTGCTAATTGGCTGGACAGGAGTCACATTTAGAGTACAAAAATTTTAATTACTATTAATACAGTCCAAAATTATTGGGTCATTGAGACCTTTTAGCACCTTTCCACCACGTTACAACAAATACAGTAGTGTGATGGTCCCCAAGGCAGAAGACCATTTTGTATTTTGTTTCATGGGTTGCCATAGTCAACCCACTAGTAATCAGTCTACTTGTGATAAGGGTATATTTATTTAGCTAGGGTGGACAACACACAATATGTTGCTAGCACCATACTCAAAGACTTTGTACCTTGATAATACCTCCCTGGTGGTGTAGCCTTTGAAAACTTAGGGTTCCCTCACCTCCATCTCACTGTGAGATTTTGGCATTGGACTTTAGAGGATTTGGTTTCATTGGGTGCTCAAAGGCAAGAAGAAACATTATTTCATGGGTCACATTGTTATCTTGCCTTGTAGTACTCATGATAAATATACAAAAAAGACCACCATAAAGACCATTGCAGCTTATGTATTGTTTTTTGCACTGGATGATGAGGTAAAGAAAATCTATAAAGATTTCAACAATATTCTGTGAACTAAGTCAACATTTTTAATACTTTTAACAATTTCAATGCAAAGGTGAGCATGGAGAGAATGGTAAAAAATACGTTGGAAATGATGGTTCCAAATTAGGAAATGTGAGTCCAAAGGCTATAGAGAAATCTCAAACCTATCTAGCTTAAGAAAATTTGGAGATATTAGACATGGTGAACACTGAACATCACAAAAATGTAATTTGATAAATTTAATAGATGAGAGTCAACATAGCATAGCATAGCAAAGAGCTGGCCTCAAAACCAGGAAGACATGGTTTTAAGTACTGTATGTGACAATACTGGCATTGTGATTGGGCAAATCATTTAACCACTTGGTGCCCTAGGCAGATACCAGACTGATTTGCAAAGAAGATTCTAATTTTTATTGGTGGAGGAAATTTCCTAAACTAATAAAATTACAGGTCTAGTCTCTAGATCCTATCCTTAATAGACAGGGAATGATTGGTTACTAATATAGGAATTGGTTTCCAATCAGCTTTTTCTTTGTAGTCAGAGCATTGACTCGTTATCCAGTAAAGGTCAAAATGGACTAAATTAGAAGAAAGGATCAAGATGAGAAGGAAATATGTGCCATTGCAACATTTTCAGGTTGGCTTATTCAAAAAGCTTCTGACTGGTAAAAAGGGGAACTGGATAAAGGAAGACATTAACATGGACTGTGACGATTTTCCATGTGAGTTTAACCAGTATAAATGAACTGCCACAACTACGAGGCTAAAAGAACACAGAAAGTGCTATGGTCAGCAAACGCTCTCCTTGCGAAGCACAGAGACATGGCAGCTGAGAGTAGTGTCAATATGGAATGTAAATTTATTTTGCATAATCTTGAGGAGGGTGGGAGATTATGAATGGTATGAACTTAGCAGGAGAGGGAAAAACATATGAAGAAAACTTGGTGTGAGACCAAATTAAGCCAACATACACCCATGTGTGTACATATTTCCCCTTATAGAATGTAAGCTCCTTGCTGGGCAGGGACTTTTAAACCTCTGTTGCATCCCCTGCACCTACTTGGCACATGCTTAATAGGTGCTTAATAAATACTTGCTGATTTATTTTATTTGATTGAAGATCCTCAGGTTTTCAGGAGCAGTTTGTTCCTGGATTTCCAGGATTTCCAGAAATCCGTGAAAGGATTTCTTATAAATTTATAACAGAATCCTCCACATGTTCTTGTAAATGACATTGTGCTGGTTATATTGAGTCTTGTAATAGTTCAAAGCTTCATAAGGAGATATGCCGCTGCCTAAAAGTTTTCAGCCTAACAATACATTCAGGAAAAATCAAGAGAACGAAATGTCCTAGCTAATTCCACATTGTTGCTTATACTCTAACTATCCTCTTTATCCCCTTTCCACTGTAACCTTGCTTAGGTTTTGCCTTGGATGACAGGGGAGCTTATGACTGATGTTGCTATGGGATCCTGCACTAAGTGTTTAGCTCCGCCATGAGGCCACATGACAGGGATCTCAAGCACTCCGGCTGGCCTCCCAAGCTGCCATGTGATCTGATACGTGGAGAGCTGAGGGACGGGGAGGGAGGTGGCAGGCGGTGCTCACTGCCTACCTTTTACACCATTGGAGCCTTGTCTCAAGATTAACTCCTATGCCAGACAACCCTCTGAAGCCAAGATTTCTTCCATCTCCTGCCCCCTACAGCCTTCTCTGGAACAACCAACAAGGCATCTTGTTTGGAAGGTGCAGCTTCCTTGGGTCTCAGGACAGGCAGACATCACTATCAAGCTGAATCTCCAGGGAGGGCCTCAGATAATGGAACTATGTACGTCTCTCCAACCAT